GGTTTGTCCTATTTAAATTATTCTGTTTTTATATGGAATTATTTTAAATAATACATCACACTGTTTTAACTGTGGGACCTTCCACATAGCCATATATCCCAGAATATCAGAGTAGAAAATCCCACATTATCTGAGTGTGGACTCAGATAACCCAATTCAAAGCAGATATTGTGGATTTTCTACCTTGATATTCTGGGATATAGGGCTGTGTGGAAGGACCCTGAGAAATCAACAGAGATGGTGGGATATAAACTGACAGTGACAGGCTATACATATATATACTCTGTGCATTGAGAAATTAGTCAGACAGCTGACTTATGGGGGAGCTCTGTAAATGTCTTGGATGTATTGTATGTAGCAATGAAATCTAATGGAAAAGCAGGGAACTTTTAGGACATCAATCAATTTTTTTTATGCTGTACTTCAATTTATGCTGTGTGTGTGTATGAGGGTACAGAAATCACACTTCTAGCACCTTTATTTTGAAGGAGACTTGACTGGTTAAACATTTTGCCCCTGAAATGCCTGAGTGTTCCGAGAATGTGAGCATGCACAATAATATGCATCTCATCAGAATGAAAAGTCAGCTCTTATAAAACGCTGTGGAACTGGTCCAACACTCAGTAGAATATCAGTCTGCCGATTAGATAAGTGAAGATATTATCTAATGCATGTAAGATGGCGTTATTATATAGACAGATAAAAAAGTACATGGTAGAGGTAAAGGTTTTCCCTGACATTAAGTCTAGTAGTGTCCAACTCTAGGAGTGATTTTCATCTCCATTTCTAAGCTGAAGCACCAGTGTTGTCCGTAGACACCTCCAAGGTCATGTGGCCAGCATGACTGCATGGCGCACCATTACCTTCCTGCAGAAGTGGTACCTATTGATCTACTTACATTTGCATGTTTTCAAACTGCTAGGTTGGCAGAAGCTGGGGCTAACAGCAGGAGCTCACCCCCGCTCCCCGGATTCGAACCTCCAACTGTTTGGTTAGCCAGTTCAGCAGTTTAACCTGCTGTACCACCAGGAGGACCACATGGTTGACCATGGTGAAAAACCCAATCTACAGTGTGGGCAGGGAAGTTCTGCTTTTCATAAGTAAGAAGTCTGGTGTGAATCATCAGTTATCTCAGTTCCATTCCATTACTCTGAGCATCTGACTTCTAATTCAATTAATTTCTCAAACCTATTTTTCATTTACTGCACGAAAAAAATCACAATAACCAACAAACTCTTTATTTACATTTAGTGAAATCTATAGGATACATGGGATAGGATATAGGATAAATGGGGCCATGATGGCATAGAGGGTTAAATTTCTGAGGTGTGGAATGTGGTGATGAAAGGTCGGCAGTTTGAATTGGCAGAGTGGGGTGAGATCCCATCGTTAGCCCCAGCTTCTGTCAACTTAACAGTTCAAAAACATGCAAATGTGAGTAGATCAATAGGTACCACTCTGGCAGGAAGGTAACAGTGCTTCATACAGTCATGCCGGCCACATGACCTTGGAGGAGTCTATGGACAATGTCAGCTCTTCCGCTTAGAAATGAATATGAGCATCACCCTCCAGAGTCGGACACGACTAGACTTAATGTCAAGGGGAAACCTTATAGGATACACAGAAAGTTTACACATATTATGATACTTTTATAGTAAATACATAATATAGGTAATACATTACAACAAAGTAATCTCACTCATGGACAGTTCTGTTAAACGTAACATTTAAGTTTTTAAGAAAATATTCAAGATCTTTGTGATGATTGTATTGATGCTACGGTATATATCTATATAATACCGTTCTTATTTTGCATTAAGGAATCTTCATTTGCAAACACATGAACAAGGGTGCAGCATAATGTATCCTAGAATGCATTAGAATGTCCAAGTGGAAGTCCAACTTAAATTATTCATATTTCAGCCGGCACGAAACCAATTTACCATTACTAAAGGAAAACGCAGTCCTCCTTCATTCCATTCTCAAAAGACTGGATGGAGACTCTATACTTAAATCCAACAACAGAAAGTGATACAGTTGTCCCTCCATACCCACAGGTTCCGTATTCACAGATTTGACCAACTACAGCTCAATAATAATAGGAGCCCCTGGTGGCGCAATAGGTTAAACCCTTGTGTTGGCAGGACTGAAGACTAACAGGTCGGAGGTTCGAATCTGGGGGGAGCATGGATGAGCTCCCTCTGTCAGCTCCAGCTTCCCATGTGGGGACATGAGAGAAGCCTCCCACAAGGGATGGTAAAACATCAAATACATGCTGGGCAACGTCAGATGGCCAATTCTCAAGTTGTTCCTGACATAAGAAAAAAAGCTCAATAATAGTCAAACATTTCCAAAAAGCAAACTCTGATTTGCCATGTGCAAAGCATTTGCTGGTGTGTGGGCATACCCTGCTGTTGCTTCCTACCATTTCACAGATCCTTGGGCTTTCTTTGGCAATCACAGAGAAAGCCCAAGGAATCACAGGGCCCTTTCACGCAGCCCTATATCCCAAAATATCAAGGCAGAAAATCCCACAATATCTGCTTTGAGCTGTGTTATCTGAGGGTCCTTCCACATAGCCCTATATCCCAGAATATCAGGGCAGAAAATCCCATATTATCTGAGCATGGAATCAGATAACCCAGTTCAAAGCGGATATTGTGGAAATTTCTGCCTTGATATTCTGGGATATAGGGCTGTGTGGAAGGGCCCTGAGTCCAGACTCAGATATTGTGGGATGTTCTGCCTTGCTATTCTGTGCTATAGGGCTGTGTGAAAGGGCCCATAGAGTCAAAGGAGACCACGTGGTACAACCCCCTTTGGCTTTGCATTCAGTGGCCATCTCGGGCCCTTCCATACAGCCCTATATGCCAGAATATCAAGGCAGAAAATCCCACAATATCTGAATGTGGACTCAAATAACCTAGTTCAAAGGAGATATTATGAGATTTTCTACCTTGATATTCTGGGATACAGGGCTGTGTGGTCACATGTCTCTTTTAAAAAATTTAAGCAGTTGAGAGGGGAAAGCAAAGGGCCTGAGGCTGTTAGGAATTATGAGAGTTGGAGTCTAAAACACCTGGAGGGCCGAAGTTTGCCCATGCTTGTACTACATCATATAAGCTACGAGGGGTATTTTTTAAGTAAGGTCTGTTGAACATAAGTACACAACGAAAGTTTATTTCAAAAAAGTAAATTTATTTTCAGAAAGTACATACTTCACTCTATTTTTCGACATAGTTGCCAAGTTTGTTCAAACACTTATCATACCTCTGAACCAATTTTAAAATACCCTCTTCATAAAAACTTGCCGCCTGCTCCGATAACCAAGAGTTCACTGTAATCAAAGAAGGGCGACCGGAGCGGTCCTCATCATGGACGTTGTCACGGCCATCTTTGAATTGTCGTACCCACTTACGCACTTTGCTTTCACTCATAATAGTATCACCGTACACTTCACAAATCTGTCGATGAATTTCTGCAGCAGGCAGGTTCCTTGCTGACAAAAACCGTATCACTGAGCGAACCTCACATGCGGAGGGTGAGTTGATAGTCTTAAACATTTTTAAAGCACAGAACAGAACCGTAGTTAGCTACAGGGCGGAAACTGAGCACAGTTGTTCCTGAGGCATGCCGGTACATGACATGCACGCTCGTTGTGGTATGTGCGCGAACTACTAGTGTCTACAACAAAACAGACCTTATTTTAAAAATACCCCTCGTATTTATTTATTTATCATGTCAGGAGCGAACCAAAACAGTTGTATTGGATTAAAAACAAACAAACAAAACACAAAGTTTGCAGACTTGGTATTCTATTAGTGTCCTTTGACCAGTAGCTGGCCACTTGGAGTGCCTCTGGTGTTGCTGCAAGAAGGTGTTGTGCATGTGGCAGGGCTCAGGTTGCATTGTAGTAGGTGGTCTGTGGTTTGCTCTTCTCCACACTCGCATGACGTGGATTCCATACAAGTTTATGGTGACCCTATGAATGAGGCCCCTCCAGTTGAGCGCCCTGTGTCTCAAGAGTGTTTGCCAAGGGACTGGGGAAAGGGCTTCTCCAACGGAAGGAACTGTTTCCTCCCCAATGTTCTTGGATGCCTTGAAATGTAGGGCGCTTGGCAGCGCTCAAGCGACGGAGAACAAAGAAGGCTCAGAGGCTCCTTCTGAGGGAGTGCCTTCCCTGCTGCTGCTGCTGCTGCTGCCCTCAGTGCCTGGGGGCCAAGGCGGGCACTGGGAGGCACCCAGCGTTACCCAGCCACATTGGCCTCGCTGGTGCTTTCCTGCCTGCTTTTCTTCTTTCCCGAGGCGAGGGCGGGCCTTGGCGGCTTTCTCTCTCGTGTCCAACTCGGCCCAGCCCTGAGGGTTGAGCGCCTGGGGCGAAGGGAGGAGGAAGCCCAGCCCAGCCCGTCGCCTTATGCAAGCAAGGGCTGAAGCGGCGCAAGCCTCTCCTTCCAAGGCTGCTCTCCGGGCGAGCGGGTCGGGAGTTTGGGCAACTCAGGGGCTGCAGAGAGAGAGACAGAAGCCGCACTTTGGAAGGACCTCGCTCGGGAGAGAAAGAGAAGTCTCGCCTTCCTTCTTTCCCTGCCTCTTTCCTTTCGGAGGGCACGCCAAGAGCCGCCTCCTTCTCCTCACGCCCTCCTCTTGCTTTCTTTTCCTGGCTGGGCTTCGCAGAGGCTTTTCGACCTGTTGTTGCCTCCCTCACCTTCTGCCCTTTCCCCCTCGACTTCTTTCCCGCTTCTTCCAGACACACTAGACTCCCAGCTAACCGGAACTCTCAAGCAACCGACTCTTATTCCAGCACCTTCAGTTCCCAACGCTGTTTTTATAATATAGCCTTACATTAAGAGGGCCGTAATTTGCTTCAATTGCTGTATTTCAATATTTATAACAAGTCAATGCAAGTTACAACAAGATGGGTTCTATAGGTTTGTGCTTAAATTGAATTTGTATGTAAGTCGGAGCAAGCACATTTTAAAGTGTAACTCCAGTCATATATATATATATGAGAGAGAGTGTGCACATGCTTTGGGATCACATAGGGAAGGACTAACACCCCTGTGGTGTTTGTTTTGCGCTCTGTGCCTCTGTTCTGAAAATGTCCCCTCTCTTTCCATCCCTGTCATAATTGGACTTTGAACATTTTGGCTTGTTGTGGAAACAAGGACAAGAGATAAAGCTTCAGCTTTTCTTTTGTGTGTGTCAGGAGCAACTTGAGAAACTGCAAGTCGCTTCTGGTGTGGCTGTCTGCAAGGACATTGCCCATGAACTCCGGAATGTTTTGATGTTTCCTCCTTCTCTCATGTGTCTCATCTTCAGTTGAGAGACCTTTTCCCCAGGATAATTCTTCCAGGGGTGAATTTCCCTTCCTTCTGTGAAGATTTCTCTCACTTCCTGTTGTCTCACTGTTCTTCATTATGAGTTAAGTTGTAACTCAGGGACTGCCTGCAGAAAGTTTCTGGTGTGGTATCGCGTGAGGTATAGTATTAGGCTAACTCTCAAACTGCCCATATCGGGCATCTATCAAGCCCCAGAGAGTCACTGAGAGTCTACTGTACTACTTGTACTGATTTCACTGTCTGTCCCTCTTGTGGAGGCTGAGGCAGTTTGGGTGTTGTTTCTTAGGAAGAGAGCCACCAAAGGGACTGTTTCTGCCTCCCTAGCACCGGCCCAATGTCCCCTTTTTGGCCATGGGTGACAGGAGTGGCAACTGGGCTTGTGGCCCTGCACTTGCTCCAGAGGCTCTGCTTCCCTTATTTTTGGCTGGACCTGAAGTTCCTGCTGAAAGCCCTTCGGTATGGCTTGGCGGTGGAGGGCTACAGGCTGAGCGGGAGGATTTGCACGGTGCTGGACAAGTTCGTGAGGATGGCAGAGAAGCAGCCCGACAAGCCCTTCTTGGTCTATGAAGGGAAGGTCTACACCTACAAGTCTGTCGACAAGCAGAGTAACAGAGTGGCACAGCTTTTCCTCAAGGAAGGGGTCCTGAAACGTGGAGATACTGTGGCCCTGCTGATGAGTAATGAGCCGAATTTCATCCACGTGTGGTTTGGATTGGCCAAGCTGGGATGTGTGGTGGCATTTGTCAATTTCAACATCCGCTCCAGATCTCTCCTCCATTGCATCAATAGCTGCGTACCCAAGATGGTGGTGGTGGGAGCAGGTAAAGTATAGACCTCGCTTGGATGGGTTTCCTTTCTGTGACATCACACTGAGGGCCCTTCCACACAGCTATATAACCCAGAATATCAAGGCAGATAATCCACAATATCTGCTTTGGACTGGGTTATCCGAGTCCACACTATAATCCAGTTCAATTTGGATTTTATACAGCAGTACGGAAGGGGCCTGAGTGAGTAGATAAAGCAAAAGTGAGCTGCTGTTGTTGTTGTTGTTGTTGTTGTTGTTGTTGTTGTATACATTCAAGGCATATCTGTCCTGTGTTAACTCTAATGAGACCCCATCACAGAGTTTTATCTCCAACATTTGTTCATGTGGGGTTGGCCACTGCCTTTCTCTGAGGCTGAGAAAATGTGACTTGCCCAAAGTTACCCACTGCATTCCCAAAACTGAGCAAAGATTTGAACTCTGTTTCCTAGAGTCTTAGGGCGCATCTAAACCAGTGGTTCTCAACCTGTGGGTCCCCAGGTGTTTTGGCCTACAACTCCCAAAACATCTGGGGACTAATAGGTTGAGAACCACTGATCTAAAATGTAATATGAGTGTAGCTTGTCAGCACTTTAATTGCCATGGCTCGGTTCTATGGAATCCTGGGAGTTTTTGTTTGGTGAGGAACCAACATGCTTTGGCAGAGAAGGCTACAGATCTTGTAAAACTACAACTCTCACAATTCCATAGCATTCAGTAATGGCAGTTAAAATGCTGTCAAACGGCAGTATTTGCATATTGTAGATGATTATTTAATAATCATCTAAATTTCTTGTTTTAATTCAATGTGTGATTATCGTATTGTTTGTTGTTTATATTTTTCCTTTCTGTTTTATACAGGCATTGAATGTTTGCCTTTATTATGTTGGAAGCTGCCCTGAGTCCCCTTGGGGAGAAAGGGCGGGCTGCAAATAAATAGATAAATAAATTAATAATAATAATAATAATAATAATAATAATAATAATAGATGCAACCTTAGTCCACTGATCAAACCACTACACTACGCTGGAGGAACTGTTGGTTCTCCAGAATTTCTGGACCATCTTAGCATTGGACATGCTGTCTGGAGCATTCGGAAGTTGAATTTCAAAGTATACAGAATGCCATTCCTGGCATACAGTAAAAACAGCATTTGCAGATGTAGATGTTTTAGTTGATATTAACAAATAATTCTTTTGCAGTGAGAATGTTCTGTTAAATCGTTGATGGTTACATGGTTGCAGTGATCATACTTTAAGTTAGAGATGGACAGCCTCCAGAGGTGCAAGATGTATAGGGTGTAACCTAATAATAATTATGATAATAAGCTTGAGGCAGGTCACAACATCATCATAAAAACATTCAGTAAAATGCATATATTCAACCTCTTTCTGTAGAATACACTTATTAAAATACACGGAACAAAGATTCAAATACAGTAAACTCAAAAAGTGACTTTAAAATGCATAATAAAAAATTGAAATGAGCCTTATGCAGAAGAGTTATGCTTTCAGCAACCCTGACCCAGTATGATTTGAACTGCGGCTCATACCAACCCTAGCCAAAATGGGCAATGATTATGGGAGTTGTAGTTCCATATATCTACAAGGCAAATAAAAGTGATTAACTTATAGATGGAGACACTCTAATTGAAACAAATTAATAGTTTATTTTGGCCTGTTAAAAATCTATTTTTAAAAATCGATTTTTAACACACAATGACAGCATAAGACAATAAATATGCATCATGTGTGCTGAAAATTGTGTTTGACAAGTTAATGTGTAAAAGATGAACATTTGTAAGAGAAAGATTAGTTGTCCTTTGCCAACAAGTCAACTTTAACCCCATGGATGAGACACTTCCAGCAGTCCTTGTCATCGTCAGTCATCTGAGATCTTGCAAAAATCAAGGTAAACTTGCTGGATGTAGGTAATAAGAATATCTAGGGAATCATTTAGTAGGGACTAAGCGTATATGATTCTTATGTAGACTATGAAGAAAAGCCATTCATGTATCGGTTTTGTGTTGTTGAAGTCCCCCCGTTTCCAAACTGGATTTACAGTGCATGATGTAGCTATAGCATCTTCAGTAGCGAAACCATTCCTTAAGATTGTCACTTAGCTTGCACATGAAATGCCTCCAGAAAGTCTGAGCCACCTCCAGAGACAGTCTGTATCTCTGTCAATCAGTTCTAACTGTTGGGAAATTTCTCCTAATGGGTAGCTGAAACCTGCTTCTGTCCAATTTCTACATACTAGTCCTGCCTTCTAATCAGCAGATGGATAGTGAAATGCAAAGCATAATAGAGATTAAAGCCTGATACATTTAGTTTCCTGCACATCATGTGTGCCACAACCCCCCATAACCTTTTAGGAAGGCTTCCTGACAAGTCTGCAAATTTTCAATACAATTGTTCCACTATATGCTAGTCCTTGCCTGTTGCAAAATTATCAGGTACGAAGGCATGTTCAAATGAATAGAAACTGTTTCTCAAACAATGTTTTCACTAATTCATGTAGCTATTTAAGAACTATTTTATCTTCATGCATAACATGTTTTCGTTACATAACTGACAAATATTTGTAATCTCATACTGCAAACACAACAATTAATAGGCAATTGCATACTGTAATTGTGGCTAATACCAGGCATTTTTATTTAGCACCCACAGGCCAGGTTTTGTAGGAGTTTAAGTATATTAAATTTCTGTTATCCTGATTATAATCTCTTAGGCTACTTCACAGAAGATTAATTTTCTGTATAGTAGTTAATTCCCTTTCAAATGCTGTTAATTTTATGTCAATTTCTGGGTATCATTTGTTGCCCATAGTGTTTTCCAGGTACACATTGTTGCAAGACATTTTAAAAAATGGATGGCGAATACCAGTTAGGTGCAGAAACAGCGAGTTATAGAGTTGTTTGGAAGTACATTCCACATGTGCAAAATAATTCTTAGGGTGCACCCACACTGTAGAATTAGAGTTGCTTGACACCACTTTAATTGCCTTGGCTCAATGCTATGGAATCATGGGAGTATAAGTTTTACAAGGTTCTTAGACTGTTGGTGCTTCAGTAAACTACGGATCCCATGATTCCATAGAATTGAGCCATGACAGTTGAAGTGGGGTCAAACTGCACGAATTTTGCACCACTTTGACCAGGGACCACTCTCCAATGTTAGTACCAAAAAGGTTATGAAACAGTTTTTGGTCAACTTAAGATTCAGTTTGGTTATTTGGGGTGCTGATTCAGAAAATTGCATTGGATAGACCACATCAGCTCTAGTTTCTTGTACAGAAGACATGCCATCCAGTATTCATCATCTGCTCACCCACAGAAAATCATATTTAATAATCTTGAGCTGATGTCATAGTAGTAATATTTCATGGGTAGTCAGCCTCTGCTCTCCCGAATCCCTGTTGCCTCAGCACTATCAGAGGTTTTCTCGTTGCTGTATGACTTTGAGGCAACAGTGTAGTAATTCTGAGGCCGCAAACCATATTTTCGTTCTTGAGGACCACTGGTGGTTCATGGACCACAGATTGGGAACCACTGTTCTGAAACCAATACTAAACTAAAATGATATCTGAGGTACTACTTGAACCAGATATTCTTTTACTCTGTTTTAGTTAAGATTTCACTTTAAAAGCCTCTTCTTATAGCTGTACTTGCCTTCAACTTACCAGATGAACATGATTGTCCTCAATTAAAGACAAATGGAAGGAATTATTTTTACTGATGAAATTCTTATTGCAAAACTAGGACATGTTGAATGCTTTCTAATGTGTCTTGAAAACAGAGCAAAGTAAATAAAATGTGCTCTGAAACACAATTATAGTTAAACTATTTAGGAAGTGATGTCATGCTATAAAAAGTGATGACTGGCTTGAATTATTATCTGATGCTACTGTTAGGAAAATAGGAACTCCTATAAATATCTCATCATTTATGAATTAGCATTGTATTTATTATGAAACAATTCATTAGAGTCAATTGGGGATAATTGATCCTACCTTTTATGAAAAATAAAGCTGGTAGTGTTGTGATAGAGTCTGATGGCAGTGATCCTTTAATTGGCTGGCGTCTGACCTTGACAGGTTATGTATAGCTTTATTGCACTATAAAAATGACTGAATTCATTTATGCAGGGTATACAAGGTTAGGAATTTACAAAAATATGCCCGTTTCATTGTGAAGTTAAATCATGCTGCCCTCACTCCTACCACATACATGAGACTAGAAGTATTTGCTTTTGTTTTTCAACTAATCACAGTTTCTGTTACATCCCATATTAGTGGCACTGTAATTAATTTAAAGTACAGTCAGTAAGTATCATATATATTCATGTATAAATCAACTTCATATATAAGTCTAGGGCAAGTTTTGGGTCCAGAATTATGGATTTTCATATGAACTAGGGATAACTTGGGGGTCATTCCATGGAGAGCAAAAAGCACCAGTGTCGACTAAGGAGAGCAACCATGCCTGGCCATTGCTGTCATTTCCCTATCCATGTATTAAAAAATATCAGAAGTGGTACCACGTCAAAGAGGGGTCAGTGCTTCTTTCAGTTTCTCCTGAGACAGACTCAACTCTTGCCTTTTGCCACTCTACTCAGGGAAGGAGATGGTTTCTTTTTTTGATAAGGGTTGAGGTACAGGACTCACTTTGACTCATAGATAACTCAATCCAGGGTTTTCTGGTGTTGATTTTTTCACTAACATTTCTAGACTTTCACCTTAGTATATAGGGTAATCTGATTCTATTTCTTACAATGAATGATCATCCCAGCTAATCAGAGTTGCTATCTGCCAGGTTTGGAAACAAAAAGGGGATTCTTGTTACAAAGCTATGTCTGGTGTTCTCATGCCCAGAAGAGTAGAGAAAGGAGTGTGGAATATGCCAACTTGAAGTTTACTGTGTCTAGTTTCCTTACTGCGCTTTTAGGAATTGTGTAGCCTGTGACCTGGGGAGGGATATTGCTTTCATCCCAACTAAAGCAAATAATTGGGCCTTCAGGGAGCATAATTCTCCATGGAACACCTTGCACCTAAAATTAACTGCAAATAGCCATGTTTACAAACTGGAAGTGGCTTCTTGCTTTCTGAAAAATGGCTGCGTTCTAAGAGATTCAGGGGACTTTAAATTGGGGCAGATCCTGCCTCGGGACTATTTGGGGCTGCCCACCCTATCATGGTACTAAGAGCGCTTCCACACAGCCATATAACCCAGAATATCAAGGCAGAAAATCCCACAATATCTGTTTTGAAGTGGGTTGTTTGAGTCATCACTGCCATATATTCCAGTTTAAAGCAGATTAGGTGGGATTTTATTCAGCTTTGTGGAAGGGGCCTAAGATGTGGTTTAACGCTACAATGCAAATTGGGCCTTAACGCTTTCCTCTAGTCCAGACCAAGCTTTTCAGTTTTTCTTGTCATCTAAGGATGGAAGGAATTGTCTGACACATCTAATGAATCATGGGAAGGCGTCAACAACACAATCAAGAAATATAATCCTGGATAGAACCAGCTGAAACTGACTGAGGGCCCTTCCACACAGCCATATAACCCAGAATATCAAGGCAGAAAATCCCACAATATCTGCTTTATCTGAGTCCACACTGCCATATATTCCAGTTTGAAGCATATAATGTGGCATTTTATTCAGCTGTGTGGAAAGGGCCTTAGTGACCCCCCTCGAGTCCTGTTGAACAAAGTAAAGGATCTGGTTTACTCTCTGCTCCCTACCAACATTGTCCTGGCATAGACAACCTTATAATATTGATATAATAATACCATAAATGTATCAGTTGAATCTGACATTGTGTATAATTTGTTGCCTTTATGTTATTTTGAAGATATGCTTGGGACCTTAGAGGAAATCCTTCCAAACCTCCAAGAGGATATTAGGATTTGGGTGATGACAAAAGATTCCAGTCTTCCACGTGTTGATACCATTTTAGACAAGCTGGAAGTTACCTCTGATAATCCTGTACCAGATAGCCTTCGTACTGCTAACAGCCTAAAGGATCCTAATCTCTACATTTTTACCTCAGGAACAACAGGTATGATATTCTGCAAAATCAAATTGATTTGAAACATGCAGAGTATTAAGCAGAAAGGGTAATATATTTCTACTTTTCATAATATGTAGCATTAACATGTAGTACACATTCAGAGAACTATCTGAAAAAATCTTGGGATTTCCTGCACACACACAATTTATTTTGAAGGACAACTGTTTCATAACGTAGATAGCAGCAGATTCAAAAACATTAGCACTATGGGAAACTACTCATTTTACTTTGTAGTAGTTGTTTATTAATGCTAAAATTATAGACTATTTTCATGCAAACAAAAGACTATAATGGAAAAAAAGTTTTCATTTTTTCATTGTGGGTATATATTCTGCTCATGTAACATTCCCCAAGATTAGAACCAGGCTTCATAAGCTTTACAGTCTCCTTTCCTAACATGTTGTTATGCATCTGTTATCCAAGCTGACTTGGTTTACAGGTCATTGTAGAGATAGAAAATAGGATTAAGGTACTAATTAGTCTTTTAGTTTTGAAACAGATGGCTAGGTTTATTACCACTGGTACAGATGCTTAGAAGCTAGTCTTTGTTTTGAAACACTTCTTATCAGAGGAAATGAAAAACCAGAACAATTTCAATAGGCAACTTTCATTATGCATTTCCCACTCAAATATCCATATGTGGCTCACTCAAAATGTTTTTTAAACTATAGTTTCATAGCATTAATTTATATGTTGTTAGTTTTTAAATAATTTCCTATTAATGTAAGATTCACATTAATCCACTGGTAAAAAATGCAAATATAATTACAAATTGAGCTTACTGTTAAAAAAATTCCTCTGAAGTCATGAATACTTAAAATAATGGTTGTGAATACTTAAAATAATAAGGACCTCTTTGGTTTACAAACCCTCAAATAAAAATGAGGAAAAATCAAATGCTTGGGTAGCAAAAATCAGGGTAAAACACAGAAAATTAGTTTGTCTTCACTAGTTCTCTGTAGTGTCAAACAGAATATTTTTATTCCCCCCCCCTCCAAAAAAAAAAAAGGCCTGGAAAAAACACATCCCAGACAATCTGCTACTTTTTGCTACTGATGTATTTTCTTTTTGTCTCAGGTAATCTAATGTATTTGCGCATTTCCTTTCTCAAAGAACCATGATGTAGGAAGATAGAAGTTACATGCGCTCTCTGACTATCAATAGACTGATTATATTTATTATTTATTTATTTGCAAGTGGGATTTGAGGATGAGAAAGTTATAAACAGAATTGTGCTAAAAAAAAAGATGTAATATATAAAACCCTATCTCTAACCTATCTTAATCCTTAGCCTATTCCCCTAATTATAACCCTCAACTGTGGTCAGAAAACACATTAGAATTTATTTAATGCATTTTTCACAATCCTGGCACATGAGGACTGTTTACCATCACTTGCAGTATAGACTGATTAAAAGCAGAGACTGTTTGATGTTAAATAGATCAACGGTCTTCCCATCACTGGTGCATTTTTTGCCTCACTGTAGTTTTTGAATCCAGAACACGTTTTCCTAATAAATCTTTAAGATTGACTGCACAATTTCAGTTTTGATAGCTATTATTGTAACTAAGAAACAACTATTAAATTTTTACACTTAAACAACTGAATACTTACCTGGGAGTAAGCCCCAATAAATCAAGAGAATAGATTGTGATGTAAGTCGATGGGATATAGTCATGCCTCAGGTTTTGTGGCTGGTATCCATATTCTATATACTGCAAACAAAATATTCTGAAAACTTGAATACATCTAAATCCTAGAACAACAGCAAGTTTTAAATGCATAAAAGTGCAATTATGATTGTGACTTAGGTTCAACAACTGGGGAATTACAGGATAGCTACTATTTTCTTCATTGAGCACTTAGAGCTATTATATCAGTCCAAATTGCACTTGAAGTTGCTGTAAACCACAGAAGAATTTTAAAAACCGTACATTTTCAATCAGTAAATTATCATATAGGGAAAAACCATCATGACCCAGTTTAAACGGCTCTGGGTCTTATCTGATGCATCCCAAGAGCACTTCTGGAGCTCTTTGCACACCCACACAACTGGCCAGAATGAAGACATATTGGGGCTGTTGTTGCTGCATCATCATCAGCAGGCAGCTCCCTCCCAGATCCTTATGATTTCATTGCATTTCTGGTCTCAAGCTCAACACTATTAAAAATGAAGTATTGCCAGAAAGCCTCTTGGAAGGAGTTTCTTGATGGCGATGAAGCAGTTTGCCTATTGATGGTGTGGACCAGGCATCCTCAAACTGCAGCCCTCCAGCTGTTTGGGCCTCCAACTCCCAGAAGCCCTAATGACCTTGTTAAATTGTCAGGCATTCTGGGAGTTGAAGACCCAAACAGCTGGAGGGCCGCAGTTTGGGGATGCCTGGTATGGACAGTTGATCAGTCAGATCCATCATAGCTAAGAAGGTGGAACGGATGAGACAAAAGGAAGTGAGTAAAATTTACCTCTTAGAAGGGAAATTCACTCCTGAAAGAGATGTCATGTGGAAAAGGTGTCGCCACTGAAGCTTTTTCACCAATCCTTGTTTCCACAACAAACCGATTTTTTTTCAAAATCCAATTATCACAGGGACAGAAAGTGAGGGGAAATCTTCTGAACAGGGCACAGACAGCCAAACAAATACTGCAAGGATGTTAACCCTTCCCTGTGGCATTGAAAGCTTTTGAAAGCTTCCCTGTGGCATTGAAAGATTCCCTGTGGCATTGAAAGCATTGAGAGAGAGAGAGAGAGAGAGAGGGTGAGGGTGAGAGAGAGGGAGGGAGGGAGGGAGGGAGGGAGGGCTGGAGTTACACTTAAAATATACATATTCCAACTTACAAACAAATTCAAATTAAGAACAAACCTATAGAATCTATATTGTTCGTAACTTGTGGACTGCCTGTATAATTTCTTACTGACTTGAACTTTATGTCTTTTCTTTCAGGTTTACCAAAGGCTGCTGTTATCAGTCATTTGCAGACCCTTAAAGGAGCTGCTGGAATGTGGGCATTTGGTGTTACTCCTGATGATGTCATATATATAACCCTTCCTCTTTACCACAGTGCAGCCTCTCTCCTTGGTATTGGTGGATGCATTAATCTGGGTAAGCCAGGCAATCTTTAATAACACTGATTTAGATTGTATATTGTGGAACTTCATTTTAAAAGGTACAAAGCTTGGAAAGTTCCTATAGAAAGTAATTGATGTGTAACTTATTGAAGAAATATGTTATTGTTATGTATATATTTAAACAGGCCTGTTATAGCATTCAGTCTCCTACTATTTTTCATTTCTTTGGGTGGGAGCCCATCTGCAAGAAAGGGTGAAAATAGCCTAAATTGTGGTGGGAATGCCTTCAAAAATATCCCCAAAACAGAAGAAAACCTAAAGAGTAAATTATAAAGTGATGGTGTAGCCAGTTGTCATGTTATTTTTCAAAAATATTACTGTTAAGTCCCTGTTCTATAAAGTAATATTCTATAGATACTGTCTTCACTTGCAATACAGTTTGCTTCTAGTCTTCATAGAGCAAATATAATACGGGTGAAAAGTGATCAGCTTAGAACTACTAAAAGGAAAAAAAAACCTAAACAAAAACAATGCTCACTGTATGATCCTGTAAGAAGGAGGTCTTTACAAACAAAAGAAGATTAACCCTGCAGGGATCAAACCCCACCTACATAGATAACTGTTACATTCTGTTGAGTGGAGGAGTAAGGTTTGCATGGCTTCAGCCTGGCTTTGTAGACAAAGTCTGGCCATGCCAGGATAGGCCATGTTGCTTCAAGGAATATTTCACATTTAATAGTGTGTGTGGATGTGTGGTCTTTTGTTTAAAAATGGGTGGCTTTGTGTTAAGGATATTATTACGAGTCTTTATCATCATGACAACTAGAATGGTGGCTGACCTGCTTTTTTTGATAGCAAGATAGCTTTTTTTAAGCAAGATCCATACTGGATCACACTAACCATCTAAATAAATCCGTATTCTGTCCACATTGTGGCCAGTTACTTGCTTCTGACCATTCTACCATGAATACTATTGCTCTCTAATATTTCTGACCTTTAAAGTGGAGGTTATATATCACCATCATAATGAATGGTCATTGCTGGCTATATCCTTGATGAAAATACAAATAATAATATGAATAAATATCAATACCTGGGATAGCCTAATTGTTAGTATATCCATCTTGACCCAGTTGGTGATGTTCGCCCAACACCAAAGATTGGTCCAGTTGTGGGCTACCAATGGTGTGGAAGCAATAGAAGGTTTTTTGACATTTGAAATGTATTGTTATTCACTTGTGTGGGCCAGACTCCTTGACGGAATGTACTCTTGTTCATAGAAGATTATGGCACAATTAAACTAGTAGACTTTAAGTCATGTACAACATTTTCAGCCAGATCCAGGTGCAGTAGACATACACTTAAAATTATTGAGTCCGGCAATTTGATTTAACAGCTAGAATTAAGTAGCCATGCATTCAGTTTATACTCCTGGTTGTTGTTGCTATGTGCCTTGAAGTCATTTTCAACCTATGTTGAAGCTGACATGCAGGGTTTTCTTGCAAGATTTGTTCAGAAGAGGTTTGCTTTCTCCTGAGGCCAAGAGAGTATGACTTGCCTAAGATCTCTCTGGCATTTTGGCCAAGTGGAGCCTGGGTTCCAGAGTCATAGCCCAATGCTCAAACCACTATGCCATGCCTGTTCTTACCTATGCTATATTCATTTCAGCAGTGTAATTTGGGAAAAAGAGGGTAGTAATTTTGTTGCTCCTGCTTTACACAAAAAGGAGTCAGCAATACCTGCTTATCTGCTTCATAGGTCAGTGAATTCAGCTCTATCTTCTTTCTATCCCTGCTTCAATACATACGAGCGTTCTTTTCTGTTTTTACGGCAGTAGACAAAAGTAGTTTCCCTTCTGGCAACAGTATAGACACTGACATGTTTAATATTGTCACTGAGCCCAGCCTACGTGGCAAAAGCAGCATGACGGGAATTTATAGTACTAGATATAGAAATACGTATATCAGATAACTCCAGATTTGTATACATTACTGATACCAGACGGAAATAGTCTTTTCTGTTTGTTATAGTATTGAGGAATATAGTTCTGAAAATACTTTGTTTTTTCTCGAAGGTGCAACATGTGTTTTAAGAAAGAAATTTTCTGCTAGTCAGTTCTGGAGTGACTGCAAAACATACAATGTTACAGTTATTCAGTATATTGGAGAACTATGTCGTTACCTTTGCAAACAGCCTGTGGTAAGTCCAGTCAAAATAACACCAGTGCTGACTTGCATTGTTTACTAAACTATGATTGCTACTAATTTCTGTAGTTTGATTAAACTATCTTTAATCATTAAAAACGCAGTCCTATATGTTTTTGTTTTCCAGAGGAAAAAAGGGGTGGGGAGTCAGTCAGGTTCTGGGGAAAGGATTGTGTGACATTAGAGCAGAGGTGTCAACCTTGTGGCCCTCCAGGTGTTTCAGACTCCAACTCCCAAAAGCACTGGCCAGATTGTACAATGACCAGAAATTCTGGGAGCTGAAGTCCAAAATATCTGGAGGGCCAGAAGGTTAACTCCACTTCATTAGAGTATGCCAGTAGAGATACTTCCACTTCACTCTTCAAAAGCTTATATTGTCTTATGCTTCCAAGAAAATTCCATCTTTTCCTGTAGTCAGTGGCATGGGAAAAGGAGTGGGGGGTGCCACTTACCTATGTTGCTTTATAACTGCAGCAGCAGCCACATACCTCCAGAGAGTTTCTCGCCATTACTCAGCACCTTTGCCAAGGTCAGCAATTCACCCAAGGGACTTGGAGAGGAGAGGACTATTGCCTCTCCTTTTCCCCTCCCCTCACCATGTTGTACAGGTCCCTTTACCGACCTTGCCAAAGGCATTGAGCAATGTGCAGGAGCTCTCTGGCGATTCATGGTCACTGCTGCTCTGACAAAAAAAGATCTGGGCAAGGTGACCATTCAGAGAGGTCGAACTTGGTTCAGCACCACCAGACAAGTCAGGATTAATTGAGGAAGTAAAAAAAAAATCAGACTACATAGCAGAACAATAGTATTGAAGCCCTAAAATGCCTAGCTTATTTGATTTTTGTTAGGATAGGAATACAATTATTGCCTCTTCATTACCTCTTAATTTGATATAATACCTTTAGGAAGTTGTGTTTTCAGGAACAACAATAATGATACATTGAGGGTCCAATATATCCTCGTAAATAGCCCTCCTTTTACACTAAGATCATGATTTCATACCATACAAACAGGCATTGGAGTCATAAAAATCTGTTTTAATTCCAAGATATTATTTTCCACATATCTGAAAATACACAATTGAATATAGTGGGAGTTTAAAAATAATTCCTTGCATATTTCAGTGTTGTGTGATTCCATGCTAGTACTTTGAAAAAAACAACAACAACATTTACTCACATATAGGGATTACATATCTAGGAAGGTGCTGTTTTGCTCCTGTCTTGTTTATGTGGTTTCTCATAGACAGTCAATTGACTGATCTATGAACAGAAAGTTAAACTAAATATATCGTAAGTGTGATACAGAATGGTTCATCTTGCATTCTCATATTTTAGCCATTCTTATATTGAGTTGGTGTGAGTTTTTCGGGCTGTATGGCCATGTTCCAGTAGCATTCTCTTCTGATGTTTTGCCTGCATCTCTGGCTGGCATCTTCAAAGGTCTGACCTCTGAAGTTGGCAACCACAGGTGCAGGCAAAATGTCAGATGAGAATGCTACTGGATCATGGCCATACAGCCTGAAAAACTCACAGCAACCCAGTGATTCCAGCCATGAAAGGCTTTGATAACACAATTCTTATATTTTGGTTGTAGAAAACCCTGCCAACTCATTGGCTCCCAGTGTGTGTGGGAACCAATCCATTTACAATGTCTGGCATTACTAAATGTACCTAAATGTACTAGAAATTCATCACTCATGATATTGCTGTCAATTAAGAATTATACTTCGGATAAATGGACAGAAGTCCATAACAAACAGCCCTTATGATGCCACAAGACTCTTCCTTGTTTTTGCTGTTAAATATTAACATAGTTACTCTTGTGATAGCCAGTTATTACGGTACTTCCCCCTTCCCCAGCTCTATCAGCTGTCCGTCCATTCTGCCCATGCAAGATACATTCTGATGGTTTCTGGAAGAATGTGACACAATAAGGAAACACAGATCACACTGTCTGAGCAAGTCCTGTTTTAAAATAGCAGTGACACAATCACTCTTTCTTCTACGGAAAAGCTTAAGCTAACCACTCACTGTTAAGGATGCTGCTTATTCTGCTCTGTCATGGATTTTGATACTAACTACAGCAAACTTCAAATTCTTCTGTTTTTGGTTTATAATGTTTTAGTTAGAAGCTCTTCAGCAGTTAAAGTTGCTTGCAGAGTAAGCAGAGACCCATCCGAGGAAAGAGGAACAATAGAAGCAAATGGCCAAAGTTTCCAAAACAGCGCTGCACACTGCCAAAGGGAAATCAGCTTTAAAATGAAACAGAATGGGAGTAAAATAATATGAAAAGAAAAAGTAAAAACAATGAAGATATTGCAGCTCTGTTAAATGTCTCTTATCATTCCGGCACAATCTTGGAATCCTGCAGCAAATGTTAGATCTTTATAATATGTAAATATAAGGAAATATATTTACATAATTTAAAAACAATCTTACAGTAACTTTATCTGTATGTTATCCTGGAATCTAATGATATGGGATGATGAGACTTAAACGTTTTTATAAAGAAATACTTTTTCTAAGTTATAATAGGAGCTGTGTTAGGCCAGATGAAAAATGTATGTAGTCTAGCAATCTTTTCACACAGTGACCCTTTATATATATAAATCTTAACATTTTTTCCTAGTATGGCCACTTGATCTTCTAAGCTACCGTAAGCATACTTATACCACACTATTCTTGAGTCATCATGTTATTTCCAAAAAGTAGTCTGATACCTTTGTGATATTTCCAAAAGATAGCCTTATGCCTGCTGCTCTTCATTTGACAAAGGATACCTCCTTTGCTGAGCGAAGGAAGATCGATGCTTTTGAGCTGTGGTGTTGGAGGAAAGTGCTGAGAGTGCCTTGGACTGCGAGAAGATCCAACCAGTCCATCCTCCAGGAAATAAAGCCTGACTGCTCACTGGAGGGAAAGATACTAGAGACAAAGTTGAAGTACTTTGGCCACATCATGAGGAGACAGGAAAGCCTAGAGAAGACAATTATGCTGGGGAAAGTGGAAGGCAAAAGGAAGAGGGGCCGACCAAGGGCAAGATGGATGGATGGCATCCTTGAAGTGACTGGACTGACCTTGAGGGAGCTGGGGGTGGTAACGGCTGACAGGGAGCTCTGGCATGGGCTGGTCCATGAGGTCACGAAGAGTCGGAGACGACTGAACGAATGAACAACAACAACAACCTCCTTTGCTTAATCCCCAATCATTGATCCTTTGCTTTAGCCCTTGCTTCTAAACACTTTCTGCCATGACACATGATTGAGAGCATCTCAAGATGACAAAATGTATCTAGAAGTCCTGGGTTTGGTTTTATAGGAAACAATTTTATTTTGGAGATCCTCAGGTAAAAACTAATTTATGAAATAATGTATGAAGCTGGATGTGATTGGAACTGCATGAATTTGATTATTCTGCCTGCCAAAAGCAGGATGCAGAGCAGCTCAGTTGGCATTTAATAAAATGAAATAAAATTGTGCTTAATCTGGTCACTCTAGCTTTCTTAGAGAGCAGTTTTGATTTAAAAGTATATTATCCAAATTGTCAGAACATTCTCAAAATTTGGTTCCAGTAAAAAAAAATTGCTTAATTCCTACTGTGTGTTTTCATAGTTTGGATTAAAGTGAAATATACACCTCAGGCTACAAAATACAGTATTATTTGTTCCTATGTTTATTCCAGTGTCCTTAACAGGAACATCACCAAATGTTGTATAAAAATATTTCTTTTCATAAATAAATTAAATACTTACAAAAAAAAGTTGGATGTGACACATGGTTAGTTGGAGAGGGAAGGGGAAAGATAGATGGAAAGAAGCCCAAGATATTTCAAGAAGGAGCTGAATGCAAAATAGAATCAAAATTAAAAAATTGGAAAGTCTCAGTACTTCCTGTGGCTTTTTACCCATCTGATGAAGGCATGCCGAATTGGTTATGGTCAGTTTGCATCAGACCTGCAACATTAACTCTTAATTACTAGTAGACTGGAAACACACCTCCAAAATCATTTAGATATTGGAGATATCTGCAAGAAACAAAGAATCCTCATCTTCTGAGAATGAATGAATATAATCAAAGTTTACCTATATATTAAATAGGGTCCCAATTTAATTTCTGAGAGTTTATAAATGAACCATTCAATCTGAAGTGGCTGTTTTGCTTTGCTCATTACTAAACAAAACCTGTAAGAAAAGTCTCTTTGCTCTTGCCTTTAGTCTGATTTGCATTCGAATAATGGAAAACTCAGTGGCCTCAGTTAAGAACTAGTTGTATTGTTGCAGATGTGTTTGTTTAAATTTGCCAGTGATGAAGAATTCTTTTAAAAAGAAATGTTTAAATCTATTATAACTGACAATCCAAAGGTGATTAAGCAATGAGAAACATATATAATTTGAAATATGTAAACAAGAAAACAAAGAAGCTCATTTGCAATCATTTTTAAAGTGGCCCAGATTCAGTTAGTTGTGTTTTGTACACATCTCAACTCAGAAGTGCTCAGTGGAGCATACTGATAATGAGCATTCATGTGCAGATTACAACCTAAGTCTTTCCAAATCTTTTTTTGAATCTGTCTACTTACACTGTTTGAAAAGTGAAAATATTGTGATAGAAGTGCATTTGTCCTGTTGTAAACACAGATTGCTTTTGCCGTGCTCTCCTCTTTAATCAAAGTGGTTTTGCAGGTGTTTGAATAGCATAAATACAACAACCCTGTAAAATATATTTAATGAAGATGAAACTAAACTATGATACCCAGCACTGGCTATGATGTTTCACAGTGCTGCGTTTAGCAGAGTAAAAGCTATTACAGGGTTATATCAAATCAAAGAAGTAGATTTGTTTCTGGGCATGACTTCTTTAACGGATAATTTGGTATCGGAGGCAGAAACAACATGAAAAGAATAGGGATAGGTGTTTACACCACAAAAAGATGGTTAGCTCAAGATTTTTCAACAAACATATTTAAAACTAACAAATTATGTGTGAAGTGCAACAGCTAGAGCTGGCAATCATTGCACAAATAAATGGAAACATTTTTACAGGCCACTAGAATGCACCCAGGGATGATTTTTTTATTTCACCAACCTGTACCTTTCTTTGATTTCCATGCTTTTATCACGTGTTGGAGGGTAGCTGGAGAGGCAGGCTTAACTTTTCCACCTATTATTTTGCTGTTCATGCTCAGTAAGCAATTCTGGAGGCAGATACTGTTTACCTTGCTTATTGTAGACAGGCGCAAGGAGCATAAATAGGATCTGCCAATACAGAACCTGCTTCTTCCTAGCTCTGTTTTTATTTAATTGCTTACCGCTGACAAGCTCCTGCAACCTGAACCCATAGTTATTTAACTTTAGACTGCCTTCATCATTTTCGTAATGACATGGCTACTTTAGAAAACGTCCAGCTATAGAGAAGACGAGGAAGAAAATGGGGGGCTAGTTGGGTGTAAAAACATTTGGTAAAAAGGAACTTCTTTGTCAGAGGCGTTGTTGATTGAGGTATGCTTGGATTAGGTTTCCATTATGCAAATTATTGAGTCCACTCTTGAAGTATCTTTTTATTTTCAAAAAAATCTTGCAGAAAGAAGGGGAGAGAAATCATAAAGTGCGCATAGCAGTTGGAAACGGAGTAAGAACAGATGTCTGGAAGGAATTTTTACACCGGTTTGGTAACATCAAGATGTGTGAATTTTATGGTGCAACTGAAGGAAACATTTGCTTCATGAATCACACGGGCAAAGTTGGATCTGTGGGCCGAACAAATTTATTTTATAAGGTGACTATTTACATAAACATCATGTGTGGAAGAAATGTATGATTAACTTTTTATGTGCACTACTCTACAACCTGAACACTCTGGGTGATTCATAAATAAGGAAAAAAACAGAGGCAAAGTACTTTATGTAAAATCTAAAACCAGTAGAAAAACCAAGATTGGTGGCAGCTGTGATTTACATTTTACATTTACATTTTCACATTTTGTTGTGTTACAGCCTGGAACTGAAAAAGGATTCAATTGACATAGTTACCACTTATGTATACAAACTATTATGAAGATGCAAAATGCTTTTACTATAGCATGAAAACTAAACAAATAATGCTCTTGTTGGTTGCATAGTTACTTTACATCACCCTGAGTCAAGAACTGGTATAAGCAATTTGGCAACAACAATAGTTGTGAAACTTCTTCGCTAGTTCTCTCAGCATTGTGTACCTGGATGCTGCCATTTTTACCATTCTGCTAAGCAAAATTGTGCCAGCTCTGGTTGGATGCTGAACAATACCTTTTCATTGCCATAGATTCTCAATTGCACTTGGGTCAGGATTTTGACTGGGAATTGATGAGACATTTATGGTCATGTTTTAAAACTACCACTACTTCATTATTCCATTGGCTGTGTGCCTAGAGTCACTGCCCTTCTGGAAGGTAAACTTCCACTCCAGTCTGAGGTTCCTTGCATTGTGAACTTATCTGTATTTGGCTCCATTCAGGTTGCCCTAAATGTCACCCAATTTTCCAGGGTGCATCTACATAGTAGGATTAATGCAGTTCGACACCACTTTATCTACCATGGCTCAATGCTGTGAAATTCTGGAATTAGTAGTTTGGTAAGACCACCATTTTTGGTAAAGAAGGTAAAGACTTCATAAAACTACACCCCAGTGATTCCATAGCCTAGAGCAGTTAAAGTGGTATCAAACTGAATTAATTCTACAATGTAGATGAAGGCTTATCTCTGCTGAGGAAAAGTATCACTGCAAACTCATAGTGTCACCGCCATGCTTCACTGTGGGGAACGGCATGTTCAAGGTAATGAGTCTTTTGTTCTTTGTGTTACACATTGAGTTTTGCGATTCTTAGACCTGTTTGCAACTGTTTGCTTTGTTTCCCATTGGAAGTTTTTGGGAACTCCACAGTGACTTTGGACTTTATTCAAATCAGACTTTCATAAAATGCATCTTACAGAATGTGTGAGTGATGGTTGTCCCATGGACAGTTTCTCTCACATCAGGTATGGGTTTTTCCAACGTTTTAAGAATGACCGGTAGTCTCTTGGTTGCTACTCCGAATAATGCCTTCCTTTCCCACTCTTTGATTTTGGAGATGGTCTCCTCTAGGCAGAGCCACATTTGTGCCATGTTCTTTCCATTTTGCAATGGTGGGTTTAACCCACCCTTATTGATGTCTTTGCTCAGCTCTTATTTAGGCATTTCCTTAGTCTTAATGGTGTTATTTTAAATATGCTCTCCATTAAACCCAGGGCCTTTCAAACAGAAGTATATTTAATGTGAGATTATGTGACACTAGAACTGAATATAGTTGGAGCCCATTCAGTGACAGAGAGAGTAGGTTTTACCAGAGGTTATGTATATCATAACAAAGTGAAGAACACTTATGTGACCAGCAAGAGCCAATTTGTTTTCATTTACTTAATTGTTGTCTCACAGTAAAAATTTCATACATTCACAATATTGCACATCTTGTATACAACAAGTGGCGGCCAATGTCAATGAAATCAAATTGCATGTCGCAATAAAATATGGGAAAGTCAATGGGTGTGTGAGTGAATATTTCTGTGTGTTGATTTGTGCAGTGTTTTTAACTATGAAGGTGACCTAAATATTTGCTTCCTTTCTGCCTCACTTGACCAACCGCAAGTCATATGCAATTTTTGTTTTTAGATCAAATGACATAACCTCATTTCATAACTTTGCTGTTCCCATAGAAAATTGAAACCTTGCTTGTGTGTGTGTGTGTTTGTGTGTGTTGACTTCTTGTACTTCATTGACCTTGTTGTCATTGAGCTATAGAGGGACAACTCCCTACAGCAGCATAGACACTATGAGCTGGGATACATACAGAAAAGTCTATAGAAAGATCCCTTTGTGTGGAAGCCAGAATACTGAATACAGTCAGTGCATTAGCTATTAGCCTAGCAACCCAGTAAACAAGCCTAATTGATGACAGCTCATTGCGAAACCCTTTCAATTGCAGCTTACAAAACCAATTTGTTTTTATGTTTTAATGACTAAAAGGGTGATGTTGTGGTCTTATTCTACTGGCAGCTGGTATGTGAAGGCTGATGCTGATGTTATGTAGTCTAATTTTTGTACACTCTCAACAGCAAGATAAAAAAATTGCAAAACAAGAAACTAATGTAGTAATAATACTAATAATAGTAGTGGCTTTGACAGCAGTAGCAAACCCAACACCATTCATGAATTAGAATATTTGCATACGATGTCCCATGTTATATGTGTACTGTGCCTTCAGGTCAGAGGTGGTTTTGCCAGTTCCTTTCTCTGAAATAAAGTGTACAGTATCTTAGCCATGCATGAAAAGCAATCAGTATGCATGTACTAATAACTAAAGAACTCAAATAAACATTAGCTAACTACTGTATCATAAAAAATTCAGGCATGATGGAATGACTGATTCTTATGACAAGAGGTCACAGGGTTCACTGAGAGGAGTGCTATAGATCCGCTAGCAATTCCGACAGAGAATTCCTATTGCAGGAGAGATTGACAGCAGCTGCTTGTAAATAGTCTAGCAGCTAGATAACAAATTCTAGGCTGAAATTGAGAAGGAAATAGCGCCATTTTAGTCACAAGAACAGGTTAAATCCCATAGCCTCATGAACTCGAGACTTAAATAGAGATCAAATAAATAGTTTGATTTCTACTATACATGAAGTTTACACAGAGGCATATCTAATATACTTGCAATGGCTTTATGTGATGGGAGAAGATATTTTGTAAAGAAGACCTAGATTCCTATGGATACTTCTATCATAGTATTCTGAAAGGCACAGATACCCTGAGAGGTAAATCACAGCAACTTTATGTATGTGATTGAAATGTCACATCTGGAGTTCAAGAAATCTTCTCATCACACATGGAGAGATGCCCCTAGGAGATCATTATGTTGAGTCTCAAATTAGCCCAAGTACACTTGGTTACTATTTTAAAAGGCAGTTATTTTTAAATGTTTTCAATTCTGTACACCCCATATCAATGTTTCCCCCTTGAGTCTGCTTTCAGCTGATGTACTTCTTGAGTTGGGATTCGTCCACTGGGTTAGACAGATTTTGATCGCTGCTTCCATGTAGTAATGCAGTTAGTTGTGAACAGTTTTCCCTAGTTCTGGTCAATGTTGAGTTCTTCTTGATCAACAATACTATTATGTGAAGTGTTTAGTGCTTGCTAACAAAACTGTAATTGGAGTTGCAATTCAAAATATCTAAATGGCATCAATTTTTGATTGCTGAAAATTCAGTTAGGGAACATGATCAGACTCATCATAGTAAAGTATTGTTGGGTGACACTGTGCTGTCGCACGCTGGGCCTGAAATAATGTTTGTTTACAGGACGTGCCTTCTGTATTCCCAACAGGATGCCGGGGTGCCTCAGCTGAAGGGCCCCTTAGATTTCCCAACACAAAGTTCTATTGAGGCTCAAAATAAGTTCAACAAAGTTCTTTATTTGGGCTTAAATCTTCAAACAAATGAATTAAATGCTTTATAACCTTGAAAATGAGTAGCTTCCTCAATTTGCTATCAAGGGCAGGCAACTGATGGTAAACTGTTCCTTTCTTCCTTAGGGAAATCTTCTGACCCCTCCCTGGGCAATCTTTCTTTACCTTGCTGGCATGAGGCCCCTACTCACAGCTCCAAACTACTTTATGGATAGCCCGAGTGGTCCCTTACTGGACAAGATTTGCTGTAGATCTGCTGAGCCAAAAGGTGTCCTTTAGTTTTACTCCACGAAGGCTGTAGGAACTGTTCTGTTGCCCCAGCAAAGGCTGGCTGTATTCCCCCAGCAAAAGCTGTGGAACTATTCCTTTACTCCCCCAGCAGAGCTGTGAGTAGTGAAGCCTTTGTGCAGGTGGGATAGAGAAGCCTACATGTCCTGCTGTTAGGCTTCAAACAGTGAGACTGAACAAAGATCCTCCTTTGCCTCCAAAACCCTGGGGAAAGGGGCGGGTCTAAATACTCTAACGATGATTGCCAAGTTGCTGGCCCTATGGCTGCAACCTGGGAAAGCCACCTGATTGCAAAATGCATGGCTTAAATAAATTCATACAAACTAGCAGTGCAAGAAAAAGAAATTCAAATCTCCTGGCACTACCATGCCAGCACACACATATTTGTAGGGAATGGAACACGGAATGGGAACATGATCAGACTCACCATAGTATAGCATTGTTGGGGTGACATGATTATTTGTAGGGAATGTGACACAGGAGCTTTGGACTTCCAACTCCCAAGTCCTAGACAGCATAGCAGATGATAAGTGTTATCGGAGTTCCAAAAGACCTGGAGGGCCAGAGTTTGCCATCTGGATTGACTTGCTAGACCAGTAGGAAGTCTGCAGTAATATAAAAAAAATGTTTTTGACGTTTCATATAGTATGTAACCTGAAAGGTTTGTGATAGTGTTCTTTCCATGCTTTCATGCTTCAAAACTAAAAGCTGGTTTTAATTCTATGTTTGTTCTTGGTTCAGATTTAAGATATTTTAAATTTAGTTTAACTATTTAAAAGTGAAATATTTTAAATGCCACAATATTTGACTTGCATTTACCAAGGAGAGAGAATGATTTTTCAGAGGGATGTTTTAGAAATTGGCTCGTTTTTGTGATACTTGAAAGACATTGAAAAGATGTTGGTCCAACAAAAAGTTCTTTATTGTTTTGTGTGTCACAAGAGAACTGAAAAGGGGTTACTGATTGAATCTGAACATGCTTAACATTTGGCAACCTTGAGTTCTTGAAATCCTATACCTCTTTGGAGCATAATTGCTCTTCCAGCTTCCTTTTTGGCTCTCTTCCCAGTTAATGGGGGTTCTTTTATATAGTAATTGACAAGTTTTGGAAATCTAAATGACACAAGTAATTACAGAGGTTGAGAGTCATGTTCTGATAACATAACAAATATTGCTCTCTTGTAAGAAAAAAAATGAAATCTGAAAAAGTCTGTATATTGTGGACAAACCTTCCAACCAGTTCAATTCAGTACATTTGAATTTGTTGCCTTCTGGTCTTTTTTTTTTTTTTTAATGGAAATAGGTGTAATTATTAAACTGCATTTCAGCAGTGAAATTGATGCTTGGAAATCAAAGAATACAAAGATTAGAAAGCAAAAGATTTATATATCTTCTACTTTTTCGTAACTTTTGAAAATTAATAAATTATGATAGAATTACTATTGTGACTTTTTCTTAATTCCTCTTCCATCGCCTTATTCATCAGCCCAGGCATCTGCCCAAAGAAGTGGGCAGCAATAAATCAAAATGATCAAGCCTGTAATCCTTCCTTAATAAGGATTGGCACTTTATTGTTCATACATTGCTACATATCATATGTGCTGATACTAGTTCTGTATCCCTTATCCAAATTTTCTGGGACCATTTTGGGATTTCAGATTTTTGAATACCTATATTTGCATATATGTAAGTAGTGTTATATCTTGAAGATGGAACCCAAGACTAAACACAACAGTAATTTATATTTCATTGAACCATCAGAATGTGTCACTACCTCAGCCACTTGTGGATGGTTTTGAGATTTTTTTGTATGTTGGGAATTCAGATAAAGAATGTTAAACATGTATGTTTATACTGTTAGTTTTGGTAAGTGATTCCTTTAAGTAGATTGGTATGCTATTGTTATAACAGAACTGAGAAGAGCAGTTTGAGATTTTGGGTGTGTGGGCAAACTGGATATTTGTCATTACTATTTACATTTCAAAGACAGTCACTGGCCACATTTAGCATCTAATAACATGTATGTGTGTGTGTGTGTGTGTGTGTGTGTGTGTGTATATATATATAATGTATGAATCTAATTTCTTCTAATAAGCTTGGAGGTAATAAAATATGAACAATAGTCAGTTTCTTGATGTGAGTCATTTCTCCTATTCCTTTCATTTTTATATTACTTTAACGTTTAACAGTCTGATATTTAAGAAGATTTGGTCAGCAGCTTAATTTTGGTAAACATGCTCAAATTCTCAGCAGCTACTAATATCCAAAGTTTTATTTATATTTTCTTTAGAAATAGTATTATTTAAAATAGATTTGATAAATCTGCTTCTGTAAAAGTTTACTTCTAAATGAGTATTCAATGAAAAGGTCATTTAATGTACATTACTTAGTATTTCCACCAGATGTCACTGTTATATTATACTGACTGGGGTTTGTTTTTTTCTGTCTTTTAAGCTCTTTTTCCCTTTTGATTTGATTAAGTATGATTTTCAAAAAGAGGAGCCAATCAGAAATAAAAATGGGTGGTGTGAAAGAGTTAAGAAAGGTAAGAACTCTATTAGAATTTGATCTTCATTTTGCTTGTAGTATGGAAGTATGTCAGATGCCTGATTGAAATGAAAACACGTGAAAATACATTAACAGCTCAGTTCGTTTTCGTTGTTTCATAAACACAAACTGAATAAGTAAACAGAGCAAAAAAAGTAAATAATTTTAGTATATTGTAGAGTTGAAATGTGGAAATAAAGTGTTTATCCTGCTGTTGCAATGTAGACAAAAACTTAATCTTTCTAGGTGTTCCAAAGTAACTTATCTCAGAGCAAATAAACTTTCTGGATGTTAGTTTTAATTGTGAAATCATTCCCCTGATTGTGTCTACCATCAGGGAAAGAGAACTTGTGGATATGGAAAGCCAGCTATGTCATTTTGTAGTTTCTCAGATTTTTGTACAAGTTTTAACCCTATTCTGAAAGACTGAAATCTTCCTCCTAAGGATTACTTACTGTCAGTGAACTTTTATCATAAAATATGCACATATTTTAGTCCCAAAGTTTGGGTTCAGTAACATCAGTGGAAGGTGTGCTTTAGGAACTCCACTGAAATCGACCAGTACTTCTCAGGCTTTCTATTATGGGGGACCACAACAATACATTTCCCTGATGTCCCAGAGACTCATACTATATTGGTGCCCATTGGCTGCAACTGATGATTACTTTTCTGGAAATCAACTGGAATAGGCAGGCTATAGCTCGTGGGTCAGCACCACTTAGAGCATCTCAGATACATTTTGAGTATTTGAATATCTAGCTAAAACAGTGGTTCTCAACCTAGGATCCCCAGATGGTTTTGGCCTACAAATCCCAGAAATCGCAGCCAGTTTACCAGCTGTTAGGATTTCTGGGAGTTGAAGACCAAAAACATCTGGGGACCCCAGGTTGAGAACCACTGATCTAAAAGATAAGGAATTTTCCATAGTTCACTTTGTTGGTGGTGGGATTTTGATGATGAGGTCGGGGAAAGTCTAAATCTAGCAATTACCCACAGTAACATATTATCAACACTGGGGCCATTCACTAAAATCCTGATGAATCCTTGATATAGGTTTCTACTCAGCAGTTTCCCATTCTCACTATAAGGTTTCATGACACTGAAAAGCTTTAAAGAGTATTATTTCTAAACAGATAACTGTGTTAAACTGTTACAGACAAAAATACAGAGTCTTAAATTACTTGCTTAACACTGGCTGTATACAAAACCTCAAACAGTCTGGCAGTAGATAAGCCAATTAAAACCTGCAGTGTGCTAAGAAACAGTCATTCCTATTCAAATATTTGGTGACAGGCTGAGATTTCCCATGGAAATGCAACTTGTAGCCCTTTTCTCTAATCTCTCTTTGAAGCTTCTCTGCACTTTCAAATAAATGAAAGATTCTCCTGGGAAATCGAGTCTTCTGCTACTGGGTTCCTTGTTATTTGTTCTCTGCTTATTTTGCATATTACTTTTTAAATATAGATTTGCCTGTTTTTCTATGTAAATGCAGAAAGAGGCAGCATAAAATGCAGATATGTATGCCATCGCGCCTAGGGGCTATAACTTTTAGTGAAAGAGACATAGATGTGACATCTTTCCCCCAGGGGATTGCTTCTTGCCTTCCTTTAGAGAACTGGANCTCAGAGGTAGTGAGGTCTGTTGGAAATGGGTTTATATATCTGTGGAATGACTGGGGTGGGGCAAAGAGCTCCTGCCATACATCAAGGGAACCACTTTATTTATTTATTTATTTATTTATTTATTTATTTCTGGTACTTTTACCCCGCCCTTCTCAACCCCTGGAGGGGGACTCAGGGCGGCTTACAAAAAAGGCAGAATTCGATGCCTATACAAAATTATAGCCCCCAGTGACACAGTGAGTTAAAGCACTGAGCTGCTGAGCTTGTTGATCGAAAGGTCGCAGGTTCGATTCCGGGGAGCGGCGTGAGCTTCCGCTGTCAGCCCTAGCTTCTGCCAACCTAGCAGTTCGAAAACATGCAAATGTGAGTAGATCAATAGGTACTGCTCCGGCGGGAAGGTAACAGCGCTCCATGCAGTCATGCCGGCCACATGACCTTGGAGGTGTCTACGGACAACGCTGGCTCTTCAGCTTAGAAATGGAGATGAGCACCACACCCCAGAGTCAGACATGACTGGACTTAATGTCAGGGGACTACCTTTACCTTTACCTACAAAATTACACATAATATACAAAAATATACAAAAGAACAAATATACAAAAATGTAATTAAAACAATTATCACAATTAAAACATCAACAACCGGTACATAAGACTTTATATAAAACATCATATAAAAACATCATATAAAAGTCATTCTTATCATCAGCGTTTCGTTTCCAGAGTTCCACATGTCCAATCCGTTAGTCATTTCCTAGCCATCAATGAAGTTCTTTCTTTATTTTCCCACTTGTCCAAATGCCTGGTCCCAGATCCATGTTTTTAGTTTTTTCCTGAAAGAAAGGAGCGAAGTTGCAGATCTGATTTCCTCGGGGAGTGAATTCCACAGGCGGGGGCCACCACCGAGAAGGCCCTGCTCCTCGTCCCCGCCAATCTCACCTGTGATAGAGGCGGGGTCGAGAGCAGGACCTCCCCAGAAGATCTTAGGCTCCGGGGTGGGACGTAGAGGGAGATCCGTTCGGACAGATACACTGGGCCGGAACCGTATAGGGTTTTATAGGTCAAAACCAGCACCTTGAATTGTGCTCGGAACTGGATCGGCAGCCAGTGGAGCTGACACAACAGGGGGGTGGTATGCTCCCTGTATGATGCCCCGGTGAGCAATCTGGCTGCCTCTCGCTGGACTAGTTGGAGTTTCCGAGCAGTCTTCAAAGGCAACCCCACGTAGAGTGCGTTGCAGTAATCTAATCGGGATGTAACAAGAGCGTGGACCACCGTGGCCAAATCCGACTTCCCAAGGTACGGGCGCAGCTGGCGCACAAGTTTTAATTGTGCAAAAGCTCTCCCGGCCACCGCTGAGACCTGGGCTTCCAGGCTCAGCGATGAGTCCAGGATCACTCCCAAGCTGCGAACCTGCGTCTTCAGGGGGAGTGTAACCCCGTCTAACTTATTAAGGGCTTTAGAGCCAAGCTCTTTCTCACATCTATCTGATAGAAAGTTTGATGGTAGAATGGAAAAGGAAAAGCTCTGCCCTCCTCCAGGAAGAGGTGGAGCCAAGCAATTGAGCTGAGGAAGCAATATAACTGGTGCAAACAACATTGATTGACAGCTATAAATAACCAATCAAACCAACTATACATTCAAACCAACAAAATCAAACCAACTATACAATCAAACCAACTAAAGTAAGCAAGTATGGGCATGTTATACAGTTTAAACCTTTGGTCTTTAAAGTTCTACACACAGGTGCCGCCACTCGCGCCGTCATATATGGAATTAATCTGCAATTTGATAGGGTTGTTGTAGGTTTTTCGGGTTATATGGCCATGTTCTAGAAGCATTCTCTCCTGACGTTTCACCTGCATCTGTGGCAAGCATCCTCTGAGGGTAATAATTGCATCATAGCCACAACAAAGTGGCTCAGAAAAGAGAAGTATGTATATTGTAACTCTTGAGGTTGGGAGATGTACTAAATGTATTTAAAAGAGAAAATCTAAATAGGAGAGAAAGAAAAAAAGTCAAAAGGTAGGCCAATAAAGTTACAGACTATAGAAAGACTTACTGTACAGAACAAAAACGGAACTGGCTGAATGTGGAATGGGATACCCTGTGTGAATTATGTTATACACGAAACCTTGAACAAGAGCACTTGATAAAGCCATGTAGGTTATACCGAGCTAACTCACATCTTAAATTTTTCACGCAGGTGAGCCTGGGCTTTTACTATCCAAAGTGAATTCAAAGAATCCTTTCTTTGGATATGCTGGCAATAAACAAGACACAGAGAAGAAGTTACTCTGTGGTGTCTTTAAGAAGGAGGATTTTTACTTCAATACTGGAGATTTGCTTTTTCAAGATGAAGCTGACTTTCTTTACTTTTGGGACAGAATAGGAGATACATTCAGGTACACTAAATACTGGCATTCGTTTTTAGTATTAGTGTTTATACATGGCATATCTTCATTCCAGTAAAGCCTTTGACAAGAGCTCCCATAATATTCTTGTAAACAAGGAAGTAAAATGTGGACTAGACAGTGCTGCGGTTAGGTGAATTTATAAGTGGTTGATTGAACAAACCAAAAGAATGTTCACCTTCCTTTTCATCCTGAAGACAAGTGACAAGTGGGTTGCCACAGGGGGCTGTTCTGGGCTCAGTGCTATTCAACATCTTTATCAATGATTTGGACAACAGAATAGAAGGCACAGTTACCAAATCTCAGATGACAGCAAATTGGAATGGATAGCTAATACCCCGCAGGACAGAATCAGAATCTAAAACAACCTGGATACTGTAGAGAGTTGGACCAAAACTAACAAAATGAATTTCAACAGCGGTGATACCTGGCTTGACATCATTATACACCAAAGAGGTCTTAGTAAACCATTAGCTGAATGTGAGTCAGTGGTGCAGCAGCTAATTCTAGACTGTATACATGGGATAAAGGGAAGTAATATTACTGCTCTATTCTGCTGGAATATTGTGTCCAATTCAGGGCACTACGATTCAAGAAGGATATTGGCAAGCTGAAATTTATCCAGAGGAGAGAAACCAGAATGGAAAGGTCTGATTTCCATGCCCTGTGAAGAGTCTAGATCTATATTATTATTATTATTATTATTATTATTATTATTATTATTATTATTATTTCAGTTACTTCTACCCCGCCCTTCTCAACCCAGAGGGGGACTCAGGGCGGCTTACAAAGGCACAATTCGATGCCGGCATCAACATAACAGTAGAATAAAAACAATATAGCAGCAATTAAACAATTAACAATCAGTTTCTGTACTGCAACAATAAAACCAATAAAACCGATTTCACCTAATTAACGCTCAGCGTTCACCATCTCATAGTCCAAATTCCAATTCCACTTTGTCAGTCCTGTCAGTCCTAGTCATCCAATTGTCTTTCTCTAGTTGTCAGATTGCCCGAAGGCCTGGTCCCACAACCACATTTTTAATTTCCTCCTGAAGGAGAGGAGGGATGTTGATGACCTAATTTCCCCTGGGAGTGAGTTCCATAGGTGAGGGGCCACCACTGAGAAGGCCCTGCTCATCGTCCCCACCAACCTCACTTGTGATAGTGGTGGGGTCGAGAGCAGGGCCTCCCCAGATGATCTCAAACTCCGAGGTGGGACATAGAGGGAGATGCGTTCGGACAGATACGCTGGACCGGAACCGTATAGGGTTTTGTAGGTCAAAACCAGCACCTTGAATTGTGCTCGGAACTGAATAGATCTAGATAAGGAGAAGAGAAGGTTATGTTTTAATATTTGAAAGGATGTCATATTGAAAATGGAGCAAGCTTGTTTTCTGCTGCTCCTGATGCTGGGGCACAACTATTGTAGATTCCACTTAAACATTTGGAATAATTGAGAACTGTTTGACAATAGAATACGCTGCCATGGAGTATGATGGTTCTCCTTTACTGGAGGTTTTTAAACAGAAGCTGGATGGCTATCTGTTGGTAGTTCTTTAATTGTGTTTCCCTGCATAGTCTCTTCCAATTCAATGATTCTATTTAAACACCCAGAAGATTTTTAATGCTTCTTTTTAAAAACTAACCACACCAAAGTTCACACTATAGGTGACCTTAACTATTCTTTTTAGCCATAATGCACATGGAATGATTTCATGATTTAATGCAGAATCCACACAGACACTAGAGTTAAAATGTGGATCCTCTATGAGATTGTCATTTCCTCATAGATTTCAGCTATTTCCCATGCAGACATCTTGGTTTATCATTTCATTTCATTTTAAATAGCAGGGACAAAAACAGTGCCCAAACAGTACCCTGCCAAATATGTTGCTTATTGCCATAGAGAACTGACTGTGACTAACTTACCTTATATTTTTGGTGGTCCTAGATTGTATAATGGAGTGAGACAAACATGTCCCTAGCTATTTTATTTTTATATTTGGTGAACTAAGACACAGCAAGTGGAACTAATTTGATCCCATTCTATAAATCCTTATCCTAAACCTGATCCTAAGTGCAGTGGAATTGCACCAGAGAATACTCCTCAACTCACTCACAGTAAATGGTTTCTTTGGCTTTGTTATTTGAAAATCTGGGTTAATGAAACCAAGCAAAGATACAATTTAGCATGCTAAACTGCTGTCAGTGGAAAATGAAAGCAAATGCTTACTTCTTCTACCCAAGACAGGAGAGAAGCAATTAGTATATGGGTCAAAGGCCCATTCATGGCTCGTAAACAATTATTTATTATAGCTGTAAGCATATTGAAGCAATATATCACTTTTTGGAGAGCATTCTTCAAAATATTTATTTACAAATTAAACTAAACTCAGTTTTTCAAAGGTGCTACACATATCTGCACATATTTAATTTTAGATGGAAAGGGGAGAATGTTGCAACTACTGAAGTTTCAGATGTCATTGGTATGTTGGATTTCATACAAGAAGCCAATGTTTATGGAGTTGCTGTGCAAGGTAAGAATTCTTATATGTACATCTTTTTCAGTGACTTAACTGGGTCTTACTCCCATCTAGGTATATATAGAATTGCAATTTTAAGGTATCTAGAGCACTGGTGTAGAGTAATGGTGACAATGTATCCATTTCAATGAAAAAAGAACCAGTCACACATGCAATGTTTTTTTTCTTGCATAAAAAAGCAAATGGGTCACAGTTGCTCTTTAAAACTAAAAAAAAGTGTCTCACACAGTAGTTTCATTCAAAATAATTATCCAAAATAATTATCCAATCCAATCACCAGCTCTCTCCTGCACCTTCAGTACTTCCTCTGATCCTCTCCCTCTCTGCTCCAGTTTCTTTCCATTCAACCTGTCTAACCTCTGCTTCTTTTAACAATGTTGAGAACTAGTTTACTGGAACTGGTGCGAACCATCTGAAATACATACTACTCTTCACATACACACTGTAAATAATGGAACTTGTGGTCCCTTTCAGTTTTTGCTGCATTTAGAAAACATATAATTATCAGTAATATAATTTGCCAAACAGGTTAGATGTTGTAGTCCAGTAGGCCTGTGTGATTTTGTTCAGAAGTTTCAGATGTTGGAAGTTTCTGACTTCCAAACACAGTTCTGATGTGAATCAGCGTGTCAGAAGTACCCTATTGCCTCTCAGCCAATCAGGGCTTACGCTTTTCAAAGGGGAGGGGTTATCAAACATCTAACAAGCATTGCTGCTTATAAGCTCAAGCATATGGTTTGCAGGCTCATTGCAGCCAGGGAAAGACTGAGGGATGTTGGACTTTTTTTTTTTTTGCTGCTGCTGGTGGCTGGGTGGAAGGACTGGAAGCCAGAGGAGGTTTGGAGAGGAAGAGAAGGGAGAAGGAAAAATATTTTGGGAGAAAGAGAGAGAGAGAGAAGAGAAAAAGGGAGAAAGAAGAAAATGTTTGGGAGAAACAAGAGAGAAAGCCTTTGAGTGGTGGGTTTGGGAAACTAATTTTTTGGTCACTTTTTTAATTCCCTGTGTATACCCTATAATCTAGGCCAGTCAGGCCAAAGTGAGTTTTTATTTGGGTTGATGTCTGACTGTGCCTGTCCACATTTTGGCTTTTTCCTTTGAACATTTTACCACTGATGCTGTATAATATATCCGATAAGTCCTGAACCTCAACAGCCTGGTGTCTTCCCTAAGTCTGGGGAAGGGCCATAAGTTATTTTTCTTGGGGTTCAAATACTTGCCTGCCTTTAGTCTTTGTGTTTTGAACCTTATACCGCTCTTGCTCTATAATATAGCCCATAAGTCCTGAACTTCAACAGCCTGGAGTCTTTCCTACATCTGGGGAAGGGACCTAAGTTATTTTTTCTTGGAGTTCATCTGCCTGATTGCCTTTTGTCTTTGTGTTTTGAACATTATACCACTCTTGCTGTATAATGATCCCATATTACCTTATGTAATTCCCTAGAAAATTCAAGGGATAGCTCTTTTATTTTTAAAAAATTCTTTCTGAAATTCTTTTTAAAATGTCCTTAAGATTTGTGGATCATCTGAAAATCTTGAAATTTGGTAAACTAACTGTGGAGATTGTCCTCTACCAGTGTAGTAAGTTTTATCAGGATAGCTCAAAAACTGAGGGAGAGAGAAGCCCCTGAAGTTTCCCCACTTTTCCTGTTTTTCCCCCTGTTGCGCAATCACATCCGCCATTAGTGAATTACTTCCCAAGATTTGGAAGTTTCAGAAAGTTTTGAATTTTTTTTWWRAAAAATTCAGAAGTGATTTTAGACTCAAAATATCAGGACCCCCTACTTTTGAACCTTTAGTTGTTGTTGTTTTTTCTTTTTTTGGGGGGGGGGGGTGGCACATTCCTTGTCCAGTTTCCTAATTGGAAAACCTATGCTGATTTTATGTGCAGGGTTTTTGTTTTTTTTTTTTGGTGTGCCTTAAAAAGARTTGGGTCTCTTTTTAGATGATGGTTCTGCATTAAAGTTAACCAGTTCCCCATTGAGGTTGTAATCAACCATAATGAGCACCACAGGATGATACAGCAAAAGCACAGATATCAGAGAAGTACAGTAGCTAAGATGTTACCCTCAGCCGAGGTCTTCATATGGCTCTAAATTGTATTTAGGAAGATTAACATTTTGTGCCACTTCCACTCCGTTCATCACTCATGCTCCCTTATCAGTATCTTCCTATAATACTATGGAGAAATCCAAATTCTTCACTGTGAACAACTGTGCCAAATCATCTCCTGGTGGATATCCATTGTTAGCATGGTAAAGTCCATTCTGAAGGCCAAATCCTTACATAAGACCCATTTTGTTGTTCCACTTGCTACCCTTCCCAATTAATTTGCTAGTCCATTCTTGTAAATAACTGAGTCTTCTGACTGAGTCTCCAGTGGTGCGGTGATTTAAACTGCTGATCTAAAAATCAGCGGTTTGAATCCGGGGAGTGGGATGAGCTCCCGTCTTCCAGCTTCTCATGAGAGGGGACATGAGAGCAGCCTACCACAGGACGGTAAACACCCGGGTATCCCCTGGGCAACATCCTTGCAGACAGCCAATTCTCTCACACCAGTTTCTCAAGTCGCTCCTGACATCAAAAACAAAAACCAACCCAATCTACATGAGAGTATTCAAATTGGGTTTTTTTCTCCCTGGAAGATCACTCACACTGACTTTTGCTTTTGTGTTCACTTTTGGTTTCTATTACTTTTTGCCTTGTTAAATACTTTTCTCTGTGGTTGTGTATTATTCGTCATGTTTTTCGGGCATGCATTTAATGTTACTGCATTCTTTAGCTCTGTTTAAGAAATCAGGAATGTCTAGACAGACATCTAGAATTACTTTGAGGCAAATGGGAGAGAAAACTATGTACAGTCAACTTGATATTTTACTGGGATTCTGGTTTTAAAGTTGACACAGGTATGTGTAATTGTGGTAGAATTGGACCTAAATAGAACTCACCAATTCTTTGAAATACAAGATCATGGCATACAAGGGTGTGGAAAGTGTGGTCCTCAAAGCAATTTTTGTTTATTCCTAGAGATCCCATGCTTCCAAAAATCTGGAAACTTGACATGACCAACATATTGTGGAAGGGCACTGTTACTATTTGCCTTCATTTTGAGGCATGAGAGATGTCATCTCTTTTAGGATAATCCAGCTTTTTTTCTTTTCCTTTCTTCTGCCAAACAGGAAGTGCTATCCTGTCTCTTCTTGAAAAAAAGTACAACAGAGCTTGAAACAGGTGAAGGCATACTAAAATGCCCACAAGTTCAGCAAAATAACCAATAATTAGCCCCGTGGCTTAATAGATGTTATTGACTATTTTGAAAAGGAACTGGATTTCGGATTTTGGGAAGCAGGGGTGAAATGTTGAGATGTAATCATCTGGAGCAGTGCTTCTCAACCTTGGGTCCCTAGATGTTTTTGGCCTACAACTCCTAGAAATCCCAGCCAGTTTACCAGCTGTTATGATTTCTGGGAATTGTAGGCCAAAAACATCTGGGGACCCCAGGTTGAGAACCACTGCTCTAGAACAGTGGTTCTCAGCCTGTGGGTTCCCAGGTGTTTTGGCCTACAACTCCCAGAAATCCCAACCAGTTTGCCAGCTGTTATGATTTCTGGGGACTGAAGGCCAACACATCTGGGGACCAACAGGTTGAGAACCACTGCTCTAGAGCAGTGGTTCCCACCCTTTGGTCCTCCAGTTGTTTTGTACTTCATCCCCCAGAAATCTCAGCCATCTTACCCGCTGTTAGGATTTGTGGGAGATGAAGTTCAAAACACCTGTAGGACTAAAGGTTGGGAACCACTGCTCTAAGGTTTTGAGGGAACAATGTGCCCTGCATCTTACCCATCACTATTAAGTGTTGGAGCTAAAGAGAAAACAGTGTGGTGGTGACTAGTCATTGTGTCATTATTTAAAATAATTAAAACATTGAGTGTATTGCTTTAATGGATACATCATTAATCCTAAAACACTTTCCCACAGGTTATGAAGGTAAAGCAGGCATGGTCTCCATCATCTTAAAACCCAATAAGTCCTTAGATGTAGAACAACTTTATGAACATGTGGTGACATATCTGCCCAGTTATGCTCGTCCACTATTTCTAAGAATCCAGGTAATGTATGCTATGCTTTGTGGGCATGTCTTCAAGGATCTTCATTGCTAATGGAAAAACAGCTCAGTGATCTGCTAAGCCACATACACTGAAAATTAAGTGATGACTTCAAAGGGATCTAGCTAATGGGCATTTCAGAGATCAGTCCTGCTTACTATCTCCATTAATGAGCTGGAATGATATGGTACACTAATGAAAACTACAGATTATAGTAAATTGTAAGGGTTGTGTACCTTGGGGAAGATAATATAAAAGGATTAGTAAGATTAGGAACATGGACTGGGAGTGACATGAAATCCAATGTAGTAAATAAATAATGTAATATAGGGATGCTACATCTAGAGTGAACAATACATGAGAAATTACATCCAAGTATCCCCTTGCTTTGAAAAGCAAGTGAATTATACTATTATGTTTGTAGTAGTGGATTATATATTTGCTACTTTGCTTTTTAAATGATCTTCAGAATGATGATCAGCTTTGTTTGGAAAGCTTTTGGTTGGATTCCTGGGAAGAGTAATTTTGGTCTTAAACATTCTCCATTTTTAAAGGTAATCTGACCATGGACTGATAGGGCCCAATACTAAGAATTTTTTAAAACTCTTTCTAAACTGATTAGCAGCAATAACTACTTTTCTTAGGTCTTCATACTTTTTAAATTGTGGCATGACATGTTCCCATATAAACATATGATGAAGATCAAGGGCACAAACCTTTGACCTTTTTATGGTAAAAGACAGTGTTTCTCAACCTGCGGGTCTCCAGACGTTTTGGCCTTCAACTTTCAGAAATCCTAACAGCTGGTAAACTGGTTGGGATATCTGGGAGTTGTAGGCCAAAACACTTGGGGACAAACAGGTTGAGAACCACGGGTATAAGACAATCATATTCACCCCTGCCTACCTTCCTAATGATTTAAACGCTTGATCCTACTTATACCATTTCACTGAGGTGATAGAACTAGGACTCTCTTAGGTTTAGATCTAACGTAACTTAGGTACTCATTATTTCCATAATTTCTATATCATTTTATTTCACAAGACATGGAATAAACCCTATTGGTTGTGTACAAAGGGACTAGTTTTTATTCTAAAACGATATATTCTAAAACTATGGCTTTTCAAATAAAGTAGAGTCTTGCTTATCCAACATTCACTCATCCAACATTCAGTATTATCCAAATCAGTCTGCCTCCTGCCCGGATCCATTGCTGTTTCAATGCATTGTGATGTTTTGGTGCTAAATTCGTAAATATAATAATTAGTACATAACATTACTGAGTATTGAAATGCTTTTTCTGCCGATTTGTTTAAAACATGATGTTTTGGTGCCTAATTTGTAAAATCATAACACAATTTGGTGATTAATAGGCTTTTCCTTAATATCTCCTTATTATCCAACATTTTTGCATATCCAACTTTTTGCCAGTCCATTTATATTGGATAAGTGAGACTCTACTGAACATAGATTCCTCAATATTCAAATAGGATTAAGAGTGAAAAATTTGTAAGAGCTAAGAAAACATGATATGACTACAAGATACTAGAATGCATCCCTTGTTGTCCCTGCTAGCATCTGTTAATTATCTATAAGCTGAACAAAGCAACAAAAGATACTGGTAAATTATATCTCAGTAGATTTCAGTAACAGCTGCATGAGTCACAGGGAACGTGTTCAGCATACTAAAATTACACCTTTCTGCATTACTGATATTCATTCTGTATTTCTGAAAAATGTTCTTTGTTTTCTACTGTTTCCAAACTCAGTTTTGGTGACCCTATACATTTCATAAGATATTCTTGGGCAAACTCAAAAGTGGGTTTCCATTATCTTCCTCTGAAATACAGCCTACAGCAGCTATCATTTATAAATACAGGCTCAAAGATCTCACATGAAAATGTCTGATAATTCCTTGCTTTGCACTGCTCTGTTCTACATTCCACATGCTTTTCTTTTATAACCACAAACTATTTTTAAAATGCTTTTTTATCTTATCTGTAGGAAATAATGGATGTTACAGGAACTTTCAAGCAACAAAAATTTCAGTTGGTGGGTGAAGGATTTAATCCATCTTCCACGAGTGACCCACTTTATTTTTTGGACAGTTCTAAAAAGTCTTACATAACATTAACTGAAGAACTGCATGAAAATATTGTATCTGGCCAGGTGAAACTTTAATGTTTATTTATTGGCAAGAATTAATGCAATCTACTGCACAAGATATAACTTTAAATGAGCTTTGTTAATTCAATGAATGGGATTTCCAGGGTTAAACTTCTACACTGCAGAAATTGTAGAGTTAATTTGGTATATGCGGGTAGAGGATTTATTTTTATTACAGGTTGAGCATCCCTTATCTGGAATCCTGAAATTCAAAATCAATCATTGTCCACATGGGTGGCTGATATAGTGACATCTTTGCTTTCTGAGGATTCAGTGTACACAGAGCTTAATAAGTTTTTAACTTATAGTGTATTAACATGCAAACCTTCCATACACAAAATTATGAAAGAATAAAATTACCTTCTTGCTATGTGTATAAAATTTATATGAAATATAAATGAATTTTGTGTTTAGTCTTGGGTTTCATCTCCAAGATTTTTCATTATGTATGTATATACAAATACAGGTATTCTAGAAATTTAAAAAATCCCAAATCCTTCTGGTTCCTAAGCATTTTGGATAGAATATACTTAATCTGTATCTTTCTCTGTTTTGACCATCGGTCAATACTTGCTGCCCCATGCAATCTTATGCCTGTTGCTTAAAATAAGTATGTGATATTATACAGTTTGGACCCAAAGTAGCAAAGCCTTTTTGCTTATACTAATCCCCGTACTAAATTTTGGGTGATCATCTCTTCTTGCTGTAGCCCTTTCTTTGCTATATGTTAGTGCATAAATAATGGGGCCTCTACATGTTGTTGGAAGGTAGCCCCATAATTTCTTATCATGAACTATGCTGGTTAGGTTAGTGGGAATTAGAGTCAAGCAACTTCTGGAGGGTCACAGGATTCCCATTCCTACCATATGCCATTCTGCACTGGAATATCCCCAACACCAGATGTTCAGGTGCTACAGAATGAAAAGAGGGCCCTAAAATCACAGTTCCAAGAATAGAATGCCTATAAATAAAGACATTAATTATATGAAATGAGGGCACTTGCCCCCAGCAAGTAAGATTTCTGCTTCCCCAATGAATTTCTTTCAGTCCCCAAACTTCTAGCATTTCAGAGTGAGCTACCAAATATTATTCACACCTAGATCTCTTACATTTGTTGGGTTCACATCCCCTTGAAACTTTCATTTCTTGCCTCTTTTTTGGGTTTCTAAACTCTATTTCTAAATACCCAACTGGAATTTTAAGATACTGCAATGAAATTTGGGAAGGACAATTTCATGGGGACGCAGAATTCTTATCAGGAAGACAATGCCCTCACAGGCATGATATTTGGTATTCTTTTAAACCAAGGAGGGAAATGTGCCTGAAACAGCATCAACCCTAAGGGGAACCTGTGCTGTTCTTCTGTGCCTTCAAATCCCTTTCCAGTTAAATCCTTTATTTAGTCTGACCCTGCCATGGATTGTCTTGCCAATATTTGTTCAGAAGGGGTTAGTCATTGTGGCTGAGCAAGTGTGACTTGCCCAAGGTCATGCCGTGGGTTTCATTGGTTCACTAGAAGTCAAAAATTGGCTTATACTAGACCTTATTTGCTCTCCAAGGAGAACCTAAATAGCTCATTTGATTTTAGGGTGCGTTCATTAATTTCAATCTGGCACTACCTAGAAGAATCCTCCACCTTGTGTGACTGTGGAGCAGGACAAACAACTCAGCATCTGTATGCTTACACACAATGCCCTGGCTCACGCACAGAGGACAAATTGGTTAAAGCTACAGACAGTCGCTGTTGCCCCTTTTTTATTTAGCCGCTTGTGCTTCCTTTATTTTATCAGTTTTATACTTATTTATGCAATGCTTTTGACACAAAATAAAATTGATTTAAATATGGGATGTCAGGTATATTTCTCTGCCCGTTATGCTTGCAGACAAAAACACTCTTATTTTACAGTTAATTGATTGTGAAGAGTCATTTTTTAAATTAATATCTTGTCATAATTAGATTTTTATCTTGAATCTCATTTTGGAATAAAGTTGTGATATAAATAATAAACTATAATAATAAACTGTTTTTGTAGTTTTAAAAGTGAGTTTGACTTTTACTTTTGAAATGTTGTAACTGTTACTATATTTATTATGCCTTTGTCTTGTTCAAATTATTTATGCTTTTTCTGAAATACTTTAAATTGTATACATTGTTTGCCACCCTGGGATCATGTGATTTTTTTTTCATATCAGGAATGACTTGAGAAACTGCAAGTCGCTTCTGGTGTGAGAGAATTGGCCATCTGCAAGGATGTTGCTCAGGGGATACCTGGATGTTTGACCATCCTATGGGAAGCTTCTCTTATGTCCCCACATGAGAAGCTGGAGCTGACAGACAAGAGCTCATCCCACTCCCCAAATTTGAATGCCGACCATTTGGTCAGCAGTCCTTCCGGCACAAGGGTTTAACCCCATTGTGTCATCAGGATCATGTAATAAAATACGGGGCAGAAAGGTTTTAATCAATAAAGCCACCATCAGCCACTAGGTGGCAGGTTTCCCTCATCATCTCATAGCTATTATTCAGAACAAAGGTACCTATTACAGTAAAGCATTCTGTTCTGGAAGAGGTCTGATTAGCAAACAGTAAATCTATAGTAAGAGCAACAAAGGAGCTGATCCCAGACTATCTGTGTATCCCTGATTATATGGCAGTGGAGAGTTATATAATCCAATTCAAAGCAGATAATCTGGGATCAGATCCTGGGATATAGGGCAGTGTAGATCCAGCCTTAGAACACAAAACTGCAAGTTACAAGATGAGCAATAGGAAGTGTTTAAAAGGTTGCATTTAGAACAGTTAGAAAAGATGCTTTGTCAGCATCTTTGCCAGGTAAGAAAGAAACAAAACAGGCATGATTACACCATAGCAGCGTATTCTCAAAAGCAGATATTTATGAGACAGAAAGCACAGTTTCAAACAGTGGAGCCAATAACCCTCAGAGGAAAAAAGAAATCTGCATTCTCCTGCAATTTAACTTTGTATCATTGTAGTCCAATCGTTATAAACAACAGGTGGGTTGTCGTGCTGGCAAATTTCAGTTAATCCCCAGTAATTCCCTTTGACCTCATTATATACTGTTACACTTGGTAACAGTATATAATAAAAAGGAGATAAAGAGGAAACAGAACACTTCACTCTATGTACTGGAGTACATGGATGGATAAATGGAAGATGCAACTACCTGGACATATAGGTGAGAAGAGAAAGAGAATAGGTAAGTAGGTGAAAACAAATGGAGATGGTAATGGCTTTTTAATCTTGACAAAGTGGGGTAATAGTTGATAGTTATTTGATAAAGATTGGATATTTCCTAACTAAAAAACCTTAACAATAACAATCAATTTGAAGTATTTTGGCTACTGTTGGATTATTACTCCTAGCATCCTTCATCTGTTGTATAAGATTAATGGCAGTTGCAATCCAGTATCTGGAGTTGTCTACCCCAATATATACAATAGCTGTTCATTTCTCCATACTCTGTATTGTTTCTTTTATCCCAAATGTTGGCCGCATGCAAAAGAGGGAAATAAAGGGGGTGGGGGGGTTCCTGCACTTTAAAGAGTTTTAGAGAAGGGGAAATTTCCTAAAAATCTGAAAATGTGATGGATAAAGAGTTGAAAAAGAAGAAATTAGATAAAATTGGAAGTTGGATGGAACAAATAAAGGAGAAGAGCAGCATTAAGGAAATTCTAGACGAATTAAACATATCATGGCTCCATTGGGGGCAACTGGACCAGAGGTTCAAAAATTGGGGAAAAAAAGCTCGGGGGAAAGAACCAACAAAATTTTACAATATAATATTAAAAGAACAGGCTAAAGAAGAAAATGAGCATCAAAAAGGGATAACAAGTATGATATACAAAATACTAATAGGGATTAAAGTGGGGAGAAAGGGGAAACAAATAAGGGAACTATATAAAAATAGGAGAAAGGAATTGGGAAAAATTATGGAGAGCAAGACACCTCAAGAATTTATCATGGTACCTGACCCCGACAAAAGTTACACAATATGGATAAGGGTTGTTCAGAAAAATGTTGGAGGGGTTGCCAAGAAAGTGGTACGTATATCCACATGTGGTGGCCATGCAAATACATACAGAGGTTCTGGGGGAAAGTTATAGTAGAAATAGAAAGTATTATGAAGAAAAAAATTAATATAAATTTGGCGACTATACGGGTATCTATTTATAATACAGATGAAAGGAAGGAAAATGAAAAGAATTTGATAACAATGTTGTTAACAGCTCCAAGGCTACTAATAACAAAATATTGGAAAGACAGGTGGAAATTAAGATAGAAGAATGGTATAAGGAAATTTGGAAATTAGCAATAAATGATAAACTAACATGTGATCTAAAGGTTAAAAAAGGCCTAAGGAAGGATAATGATTTTGAAGGTATATGGAAAATATTTATTGAAGAAACATTAAGGAAAGAGGATGGAAACCAACCCCCACCAGTAAAAATGAGGTTCTGGTGGGAGCATAAAGAAAAGAAGAACTCCGGAGATGAGGAGTAGAATGGGGGAAAGGAGAAGAAGTAATTATATGAATTGTAAATATTGCTTTGTAATGAAATGAATATAAATGCAATAAAAAATTTTTTAAAGAGTTTCAGAGAAATAGTATGGTATTGTGATTTGAGTGTTGGGCTAGGATTCTGAGAAACCAGATTTCACATCCCTGCTTAGCCACAGAAATCAACCAGGTGACCTTGAGCATATCCTTCTCAGCCCTAGAGAAAGACAGTAGCATCTCTGCTCTATATAAGTGCTGCCAAGAAAACCCTAGGATTAGGCTTTCATAATTGGAGTTGGTTTGAAGGCACATACTAGTAACAACAGGAAAGAGGGTTTTTGTCAGAGTATGCAAGCTAGGATCCCCTCTTCAACCCAAGTATTCAGAGGTACAAGACCCTTATCTTCTTTTGCATGTGACGACCTGTAAAAGGGAGAGTGGGAGGGTCCCACCCAGGCTTGGAAGGAGCAAACTCATTTAAAACAGGAAAGAACCAAAGAAGATGACCTTAAAGCTTGTGCCGAAACAGCCAAGGGTTAATTGGAAAGAGGGAGGATGGGAGACAAAAGGGAGAAATGCTGGGGAAAAACTCCTTAAGATTTGTCTTATCGACATGTCTCAATAAAAAAGCTGTTTTGAGTACTTCAAAAGGCCTGTCTGTGAGAATTGTTTTCTGCAGCTTATATTAAACAACAAGCCGAATGGATGGATGGCCAGGCTTATGTTGTCTCTCAAACTACTCTATTTAAGATATACTGGAAACACCAGTGGTACCATTTAATTGATATTTTAGGAGATAATTTAGGAAAGAGAGAGAAATGGGAGAGAAATGCCTAGGCTTATAACACTCGTTGAAATAATTGATATTTAAAAGTGCTTAGATTTGACTTGATCATACCTAGATGATTTAGTCAAACAATTACAATCCTAATATTTATATCCAAGATGTGCAGTAATCTATATTAAATGTATTTTTGCCTGGTTGCTCCACTATGACTATAAATAGAAACAGAGAGACAATCTGGTTGATTTACATCTACTACATGGAAAAAAATGTAGAGATACATCTGTGCCGTCGCGCCTGGGGCTATAGAGAAAGAGGCATGGACGTGACACCTTTCCCCAGGGGATTGCTTCTTGCCCTCCTTTAGGGAAACTGGAACTCCCAAGGACCAGAACACAACAGGTAACTCGAAATGGTGTTTATTGTTGACAATGAGTTCACTTTCTTAGGCACAAACTTGATGTTTAAACAGGGAAAATTACTTTATAAACTCTAAAAGTCCAGGGTCCTAGGAGTTGTAAGCTGAGAAGCTTTTCCTGTTCCCTCTCTCTCTATGGTTGTGAATGCCGGAGCAAACCACAACCCCAGTTCAGTGGCCTAAGTTGAAGGACAAGACCTTCCTATGGTGCCAAAGAACCGGAATGAAGGCGCCTGAGATCTTCACAATGTCGTTCAGGAGGTTTGAACATAAAGTATAAGACTCGGGGGTAAAAAACCTAAGAATTGGTAGTAAAAAATGCCTTGACCAGGGGCTTTGGGCCAAGCTTTGCACACGTCCATCCAATGAGTCTTTTTCTGAGGTAAAAAAGGTGAGAGAGATACCTTTCCTTTCTCCCTTGGAAGGGGCGGAGCCTAAACAAATGAACTGGGGAAACAAGCCAATTGGTGCACAACAACAATAAATTGACAGCTATAATAACCAATGAAATTTAACTATACATATACAAGGTAGACAGGAATAAAATGGCAGTTTAAATCCTGCAACTAACAGTTCTAAATATGTGTGGCGCCACACGCGCCGTCACAACATCATTCCCAGGTATAAATCACATTTGCTGCAGTCTCTTCAGTTAATGTTTCGTTTTCATGTTTAATGTGTTAAAAATAAATTCAGGGGGTGACCATGCTCCAAGAAAACAGCAATAAGTTTGAATTTTGCTGGGTTCTCAGTTTTAAACTACAGTCAAACTTCCACATTTATTGGGGTTAGGAGCACAGATCCCCAGAAAAGTAAATAAACTCTGGATTTTAAAAAAAATGGCAGTTTCTGCTTGAGATAACATGTTTCTAATATCTCTGTTCTCTAGCACAGCTCTATGGTCAACTATTGCCAGAGGTTGACCATAGAATCGCACTGGAAGACATAGAGATTCCAAGGGAGATGTTCTCTTTAGGAATCTCTAGGTCCTTCTGCATAACTTTTATGATCAACCTGACCATAGAAATTGACCATAGAGTTGAACTGGAGCACTCAGAGATTTCTAGAGAGAACATTTTAATCATAATATAATTACTTTATTGTTATTGTACAACAAAATTAAATATTTTCCCCAGCACACATCACAAAAATAACACACCCATCCCTCCATACTCCAACCACCACCGCACTGCCCCCAATCCCACTTCAGTGCTAAGCCATGTTTAATATAGTTACAGCTCAAAGATAATTAGTCTCCCAGTCTGTTTGTCCTTGTCCTTGTCACCCTGTACCATCTGCCAGATGGCAATAATAATATT